AGAAATCGGGGAGCAAAAGCAAAACGTGATTTACCTATGCGTTTACTTCGTTTTTTTTCAACCCATCCATACTGTACACATCATACGCCTTCTCATAATCGCCACACTCACGTAAAATAGAATTGCTTCCATCAAAACTGAAAGCACGATTGACCACAATCGATTGGAAAGAAATAGACGTAGAAAATTTGTATATTTTTGTCACCAAAATGTTCGTTTATTATTAGTATCTTTTAGAAATTTAAATAGTAAATAACAATGCATCATTTGTATTCTTTCATATATGTTTCATATTTCATAAAAAAACTACATAATTCATAGATGGAATTAAAAGGTCTATTTTTCAGAAAGGCATTAGAAAATATTATTGCTAGATCTGTTTATAGAATTATTTATTTGTAGCATTACATTGTTTGAGTATCTTAGTCCTCGTGGTCGAAAGAAGACGCACTGTTAATGATATTATTATCTAAATTCAATTTTTCTGCATCGTTAAACTGACACGGAAAATATATGAATAATGTAGAATTTTATATTACCCACATAATTTATTCGTACTGTATGTATTTAATTTAACAATAATTTTCCTCTAGCTTGCATCTTTGCTACCTATGTATTTATTGAATAAAATTTTTATCTTTATTTCTATTTATTTACTTGTAGCACGAAACATTGTATTCACGTTTTCTCTGTGATCCTCAAAATGATAAGGAGAACCATTAAAAGCTACTCAGTAAACTAATCGAGCTTGGTTTCCTGCGATATATCTCAAAACCTCGTATTGACGCAGACGCGATTGTCGACACGAGTAATGAAGACTGCGAGCGCGCATTTTAAAACGCCCACTCACAAAAGCAACATTAAATGCATTGTAGATCACCCATCAAACAACACGCATTTAAACTGATTGGGTTTTTAGTTGGCTCGTACTTCGTCTTTACCGATATGACCTTTATTATTTCTACATATAAGCCGATGGGATCATGGCTACCCGGTGTTCAGTATTAACCAGTATTACTCCTAAACATTAGAACATAAATACCGCCGTCAGTATCGAAACAGGAGATTGAAATCTCAAATCATACAATGGCCGTGGTGTCCTCGGTGTGTGTCTGAATATTAAGCTATTAACATATGTATGTTAGGTGGAGTTTGTTGGTGAGCACAATTGAGAATGGTACTACGGTCCCTGGTGTTTGGTATGTTTGTATTAGTCTAGGTGCCGTTCTATCAGTCTTCGTCTAACGAGATTTCGCTTCGGCAGTCGATGGTGTATTAATAAAAAGAAAGGATGCGATCATCCTTTAATATTAAAAAAATTCTAATATTTCAAACAAGTTCTTAATACTTCTCGACAACTACTGCTAGACTTTTTCCAAGCAGTTTTTAATTTAATATGCTGTAACATAAAAATGCTGATTTTGCCCTTTCATTCGGTAAAAACAGGTTGATACACCAATTTTTAAGGTTTCTTTTAAATAAAGGTGAAATTGTTTTTTGGATCTCAGGTTATCAAAATAAAAAAATGGAAAATGATCAATAAACAGGTCCTACGTTAGTATTAAGTAATTTTAAAATGTTTAATACTGAAATGTGAGTTAATCTATAATAATGCTATGCATCATTCTTTATAAATTTATTCATGGCTATTATTATTTTTATTTTGTTATCTTTTAGGCAGTTACAATCATGTGAAATTATAGAAAAGGTATGAGAAATTTACTAACATTAGTCAAGATTTTCCTAATTTCACTCCATATTTCAGTATTTCCTAAAATAGCAAACCAATCATTCATTCTGTTTTGAGTTAAGATGACTTCAATGGTCATTGCCAGTCTCAGACAAGCAACAAACACAATTAGAGCCACTTTGCCTCCTTATTATTACTACATATTAAAATTTGTGTTTTGTGTTGGGATTTGATTCTCCCCTTCACAAGATTCCTTTTCTATTCTGGCTATTTCTATATTCTATTCTATATCTAAAGTAAAATGTGACTTGCATTATTTGTTTAGTGTAAAATAAATCTCACATTTAATGTCTGTAAACTTCTGTTTATGAGTATTTTTTCCATCCATAGAGTATTTTGAATGGTAACTTAAGAATTAAAGATATTGGGATAATTTTCTTTGGTGTAGGGCACCTGATATATCAGGTGTTATCACATTTATTTCTATTAGTTCATTCTTTCGTTCATATAAGCAGGTCACAAAACCTACCGGGAACTATTTTTAATGAAATTTATGAAATGCTATTATAACAAAGAAGTTTGTTTATTACTGTGTGAACGTTGATGATATTACAAGAACATACACTTCAATGACATTACTATATTATAACTTACATGTTTCTGAGTGCCATCAACAACATCTTATTACAACCACATTTGCAATCAATCTAGTGATGTAAAGTTGCATTTTAAAAAAAGCTGGACTGTGTAAACTGTAAAGTATTTATTTATATCTACAAGGAGTTTTAAATGTTTCCTTTGCCAAGGCTATCTGGTATCAAGTGGTTACTGGAGTCCATAAACATCATAATCCGAGAGAAAGATACAAAAGATTTTCTTCTAATAAAATGCTTGTATATTGCAATATGCCTATCATATTACACAAAATAGAAAGTTCTATTATATATTGACAATACTAATAAGTAATTGACAACTAATTCTAACTAGAAGTGTTACATCTTACAATTAGTCTTTGTCTTATAAATAAATCCACTTTTACATTTTAAACAACTCTTAGTAATAAATACTATTAGTCCTATAGGAAAAAAATATACTCGATAAAGGCTCTGATATAAATAATAATAAAAAGTTTGATTTAAGAATGACTAGACCAGTATTCACCCAATGATAGAAACTAAAACATCCTAAGATCATTTGTGATTGTTAAATTATTCTTAAGGGATAACAAGGTGTTTTAAAGCATAATACAGAATAGCATAATGGAATGGCTCAATTATTGTTTAAATATATTGAAAGTAATATTAAAGTGAGAAATAAATGTGATATTGAATTTGAACTTTAAAAATGGTTTTAATTTTTATGTTATGTACCACATTCAACAATCCTAAGCTTTCTATGTTTTTGCTTAGTGTAAAACAAACTTCTTAATCTTTTTGAACTTTAAGTGAAAGATTTCTTTATTTTGTAAGCAATTGTTATCTTTACACTTTTTTATTAAAGTCAATGCTACAATAATTAGAAAAAATAATCTCAAATTTCTTTCAACTAACTTGTCCCATGAAATCAAACTGGCCCACAGCACAGTACAATAATCAAAGTTACTATTCACTAGACCAACAACATAAAAAAATACCGAATCACTTTAAACACTTTCAAGTAAAAGTACTTGATTACAAGCAATATTTTACCAATTAGATAAGTGGGAATGACTAGATGGAGAATAGGAATAATATTGATCCCAATGATAAAAATAAGAAACCGAACAGAATTATTTTTTTCTTGAATAATATTAAATAAATTCTTTTGTAGAAAAGGAAAACTTAGTCATTTATTATAATTAATAGTGTATGTATACTTATCTCTAGCTCATATCAATATCGCATTACCTACGTAGAAATTTATACACATCAGAAAGTTACTAGCTATCACCATTAGTATTATCCATTATACAACAGTTTTTTTTTTAATAATCAAAATACCACTATCCACAAGGGATTTTTTTCGTGAAATTATTATTATTTCGTAATGTTGTTCTTGTTAGTCGTGAGTTCAAGTCAACAACGGAAATAATGTAAAACGTATTTTTACATTTTTTCTACAAAAGCAAATTGGGACAACGTTTATGAATAAACCATACGAAGATAGCGGTAAAATATTTTTCACGCTACTTACTTTCAGTCTAGTTAGATTTCCATCCCGTGCAGCGTTGAAAACGACTGTTTTGAAATCCATGATGGTTTTTTCTAATACGCAAGACAATCACAAAATCAAAATATCACTTTAGGAACAACACTTTCTTCTGTGAATAATCATTGAAAAAACACTGAATCACGTATTAATTGAGCAACCAGTCTCAATTTTTCAAAACACTTCGTCACTGCACTATGTAACTATCGCGTTACAAAACAGCTGCAACGCGACGATGGCCTGCCAGTTCTGCTTCGCTCTTTTTGCAGTTCTGCAAAAACTGTCAAAATACTCCATTTCATAGACAATTATTTTTTGCTTATTTTAAAGGCTCAGGTAGAACAGCCTATACAGCCAAAACTTGGAAATTGTTTGTGTTTGTGAAAACAGTTTCATGTGGTTGGTATAGTTAGTGAAAAGTCAAGTGTATAAAGATATAAAATAAAATTTTGGTTAAATTAAATTTAATTTCAGTATTCACTGTTAAAGAATCCGAAAAGTAGTTTCTAGAGTTATATTTTTCAATTATTCCACATTTTAGCGCTTTTATAGTTACAAAAAAGCTAAAAATTGTATTAAAAATGATTGAAAAATAATCGAGTCGGTGCGGTGGTGCACTGATTAGCACCCCCAACGGCCGAGCTCAGGGTTTTGAGATCGATTCACATGTAACGCAAACATTCGTGTGAAAAGCCAGTTTGTTTTCTCTTTGTCTTTTTAATAGGTTTATACATGCATTATTTAAACATATCTGTTTCTGGTTCCTAAAGTACAGGTAATCTTAGTTTGGGTCCACATGATCGTATGTAACTTGTCTCTGGCTGTGATTTTAATTCATAAAGCCCCGAAGAGACACTGAATGGAAGGATATATCAATTATCTTAGAGGATGTTTTCAAATTCCTGCCAAAAAGTATAACTATTTATTTACAGACACTATTGTGCAAAAATGATAGAAGCAAAACTAAATCAACCAGCAGCTTTTTTCGCTGTTAATGTTATTTTGTAAAGAACTTTTTGTTGCCAAAAATCAGAGTGCTTTGTTTCAATAAAAATTGAGTTCCACAGATGACGAAATATGATTGATGATTTGACAGCTCTATATCAAAATGACAGCTAGCCGAACAAAAATTACGGCGTGGATTTATTGGAAAACTTGGACAAATCTATGAATAATCGTATCCCTTCAATGTTATTAAATTAACACTAACGTAGAGTTTTATACATTGGTATATAGTGGTGGTTTTAAAAAGTTGTTTATGTTATTATGATGTTTGTAAATTTGAAAGTTTCCGGACAAAGTTTGTGCGTATCATTGTCGTTACCGCGTAAGTCGGGCTTCTGTATATTTAAGAAGTTATAGCGGCAGCCTACCGTGATTTGTGAGATGGTGCTGACTGTGTTAATTAACGGATCTAAAGAAAAAGTTATTTGATCGTGTCTAATTTTTTAATTTGATCGGAGTTTTAATGAACATGTATCCGTCTGCTACGCGGCACCCAGCGGCTGCGGTTCGGGTTTGTGTTTTTTGTTTGCTTTCATAATTTTCGAAAACAATGCAGTTGACAGTATAATTGTCAGTGCAATTGATGTGTGCTACTAATTTTGTTTTAGGGACCCCAACCGCCTGCTGGTCCGATTAAATTTACAATTGCGGACACATTAGAACGTATAAAAGAAGAATTTAACTTTTTACAAGCTCAATATCACACGTAAGTNCGGTTCGGGTTTGTGTTTTTTGTTTGCTTTCATAATTTTCGAAAACAATGCAGTTGACAGTATAATTGTCAGTGCAATTGATGTGTGCTACTAATTTTGTTTTAGGGACCCCAACCGCCTGCTGGTCCGATTAAATTTACAATTGCGGACACATTAGAACGTATAAAAGAAGAATTTAACTTTTTACAAGCTCAATATCACACGTAAGTATTATGAAGCCATCAACACATTTAATTTAAAAAGAAATAACTTTCATGTTACTAGAAATATCCCATTGTATTTAAATTTATGTTAAAAATCGAATTGCAAATAACATTTTGAAATAAATTAATTATGTATTAGAAATTTGCATCTATAAAACTTGATATAGAAAAGAGCTAATTTCAATTTTGCTCTCTATTTTGAAATGATGCATTTATGTATGGACTTATAGTGAAGGAATACAGAATGGAGGGCAGATAGGAGTGCTTGTCATTATACAAAATTATGAAAGTCAATAGATGATTTTTAGGAGGTCCCTTCTGAAAATTAGTGTCTACGGTCCCTTCTGAAAATTAGTGTTACCTCCTTGTGAACAAATCAAAACGAAGCCTATCAACAGCCTTTTTTTTTTAAACAACTTTACTTTATTTCTTGAAATATAACAGCATGAATAGACCAAAAACTCATCTTTGTGAATGCTTGAAGACCTTACTTTGATTTCGTTTACACATCACTGTATCTTATCTTTAACAAACTAGCCGGAATCAATACTGGATCGTAATTTATCCATGTAAACTACTAATACTACTATTAGCAATTCATCATGATAGTTGTAGTAGTAAATTAGTACATCCACTATTCGTACTTTCTATTAATAATATTCAACAGATATGATACTTAAATAGAGAAAAAAAAAAACATCAATTATATTATTTTCAGACTTAAACTTGAATGTGAAAAATTGGCCAGTGAGAAGACTGAAATGCAGAGGCATTATGTTATGGTAAATATAAAATATATTTTAGAATATCTCCTAGTCCATACATTTTTATTTAAATAAATAAAAAAATTTAATATATATTTTACATTTGTATAAATTATTTATTAGTACATACTACTACTAACTACTAAATTTTATGTACCCATCACTTGTATTAATAAAGATAGTATTTTATTTCATTTTCAGAATTTATACACATAATTAAACTAATAAGTACCATATACATCAACAAAACACATAGATAGATAATTAATATGCATAACTATAGAACACTTCTTTTTTTGTGTTGTCATGAAATAAAATAATGTTGAATTTGATTTGTAATTATGTGCATAAGTATGTTTTTTACTTCAACAGGTAACGGAAATTGATAGAATAAGTCCTGGATATACAATGTTGTTAATTTTAGTATTTTCTTCAATAATGTGCAACCATCTTAACGTATGTAAATAATAGAGTTAGCCTCATAAAGTTGATTAGCGAGCAAATACTAAAATGTGTATTTAACTCCACAAACAGATAAAAGTTTAAATATTTGACATGTAAACAAGAAGTCTTACTAAAATTATGTTTTTTATGAGTGTCATTTACATGTAACTTGGAAACTTTTTAACATGTTTAAATAAAGGTATATTCAACTAAATATGAGATTGTAGGGATTACTGAATTGGGTTTTTTTTACCTACCTATGCTGGTAGCCTTAGAGGGTTATGCCAGCGTTACGGAACGAGTAGATGAACTCACGAGGCTCTAAGGGATGACAGGTTTGATTTCTTGTTTGAAGTTTGGCATAGCTTGTAGATGTTCAGTTCGCCTCAGTGAGACATGGACCGCATATTTCTACTCATGATGCTATGGTGGTAATCACATTGTGTCTATTGGTTATGCAATAAAAGTATTTTCATGTTAATTCCTCTGATCAAAAACTGTTAAATCATTTTTAATAATATTGTTGTTTCAGTATTATGAAATGTCTTATGGCCTTAATGTGGAAATGCACAAGCAGGTATGATTATAAATCAAATGCTTCTAAAATATTATAGTGTCACTAAAATAATTTTAAAATAAAATTACAATTTACAAGTTATAAAAAAACATTGTGTGAATTTGGAATAAATTTGATAACAAAAATTAAAATCAAAATTAAGAAATATTTTTTCAATATTTTATTTATTTTAAATTGGAGTTATATTAAATTTATTATTATTATTTATTGCAGACGGAAATAGCGAAAAGGCTAAGTGCTATAATTGGACAAGTTCTACCCTTCCTCGCCCAAGAACACCAGCAGCAAGTAGCTTCGGCTGTGGAGCGTGCCAAACAGGTGACAATGTCGGAACTCAATGCTATTATAGGGGTAAGTTGACTGCTCCAAGTCATCCTACTTCCCTGAAAAAAAAAAAGAAAAAATATGAGTCCTTGCAACTCAGTGTAGGTACACTTTACAGAAGTAGAACTTCTTTAATCATAGAAAACAGTTTTGTGTCTTCATTTGATAAGAAATAGTTGCTCAGTAATACCAGTTAGTCAAGTTCAATGTTAAAAATTAGACACTCATTGTCTCTTGAAAGTTATAAGTTCAATAAAATTGAACACACCTGAAATAAGCCAGTGGATTGGGTCTCAGTAAACTTGTCATATTTTACATGTTTTTTTGTGTCTTTCCGGTTATAAATGCAGTGTAACCAAACAAAAGGTGTAGCTTACCTGTGGCTTGTACCATAAATATCGATTTGATACTCATTGTGAATGTAAAGGACATAATGCTGTGTAACATTCTAGGCTATTCTAAATTCATAAACTGTAAGATTGCTGTAGAATACATTACTAAGATATTTCTGAATTAAAATTGAGGAGGTATTATTTCTTGTTGTTTGTAGCAACAACAACAACATGGCCTGCAGCAACTTCTAGTAAGTTAAATAAATCATGCGCTTCAATCATTTGTTTGTGATTAACATTTTTATATGTTGCTGTTACTGTATTTCATTATATTATGGTTTTTTTTTTACATGATAGTATTTGAAAATTGTAGATGTGACCTAGTTATTAATTTCGATATTATGTTAGCTTCTGCGTTTTCTAACTAATTCATAATTTTCAGAGAAATCAGTGCGCATAAAAAATATTTAAAACAATTTGAAAAAAATTATAATTCTTAACTCAAATAACATGTCAGTATTTTAACATGAAAGCTAAGAAGTCTAGTGTGTGCTGATTATTTTATTTCTTGGTTTTTGTTATATCAGAGCCTTTTATCTATATAAAGGATTAAAGACGACAAAAATATGCTTGAATAACAATCCAAACGGAACATAGACATTTTTTTGACCTGGCCACAACGATTAGTATTAATATCCGTTTAGTTCATATTTTGGGTATTAGGTCAAATCAAATTGTGATAAAACTTATGGCAGTTATTTTTGTCACTCTAGGTCACGTAGTTCGCTTATAGTACCATAATGTACGGTGGCGCGCGGGTATCTTAAAGATATCGATATTTTTGAACCAACCATAGTCACAACTAAATTTTCTTGTGCTGATTGTTTGGTATACAGGAATCATCAATCCTATTAAAAAAAATGTTTAAAAATTTGTAATTTGTAATTGTTTTAATTAAATAACAATTATTATAAAATAATTAAAATTGTAAATAATTAAAAAAATTATAAGTTTGCATATATAACTTTATTTTCCAGATAATTTATATCATTTTTTAACCTTCCACACTTCCAATAACCATTGAAAATAAAAAGTTAGACCATTGAAAAATTTAAAAATATTTAAAAAACCATAATCTATTTTCTTAAAAAAGTCGTTTGGGTGTTTGACAATAAAAAAGGGTGCGTGTACTTCTGTACGCGCGTAAGAAGTTATACTTTATTTTTATTAAACTTTTTTTTTTTTAATTAAATAATTAATAATAAATATTTAACGTTAAAAAATTAATGCTAATAACACTTTTTTTACGAGTGTACATGCGCAAAAGTTCACCTGCGGCTATATTCAGACTCGCCAAGTTACGTCGGTCGTATTGTGATGAGCGATTTAGTGGGCAACTTCATTTCTGATAATTTTGTGTCACGGTGCGCGCGCATCTTAAAATTTCACTCTCATCAATTTTTCATAATGCGCCTAAAGAAGTATAACTTCAAAAACCCAGCAAGCTACCATAGATTTTCACATAAGCCCCAACATGGTGGTATACAAGGCAAACGTTTGGCAACAAATTAATCTATTCGCAAAGAATTAAATACTAGAAATATGAACAATAATTAGTTCTGGACCACAACTTTAAAATAGTAAAATAAACACAAAGAAATTGCACAAGCTAACATATTGATTTTAAGAAGTCAAAAAGTTTATTATTTTTCAATCACTTACTACACATTCATTGTATGCAAGCACAATTATGGTTTATATAATTAGTTAGTTGTTGAGTTTTATGAGTAGTTATTGTTTATTAGTAGATGTTAGAGATAAATTATGACCCAGAAGCCTAGAATGAAACAATACAGACTTGTGTAGGAAATATTTATCAGTCATTTGATTATAGATATCTAAATAAATATAAACAAATTAGAACTATAAAATCTGTAGTAGTTGCATCAGTTTCAATAATATTCTTAAAAATAAATATAAAATGTAAATGAGTAGTAAACATCGTAGCATTTTAGAAACAAAAAAATAGTTCTTAATTTGTTTATTAAATAAAAGCGCGAAACAGGTTTTAAAAAGAACTTGCTCACAGGTATTTTTGACTTGTATAATAGTCTTAAACTAGCCATATATTTTTGGGCAATCCCAGTTTCACACTAGTGCCACTAGCGAAGTGAGAATTTAAAATAAAAGGTTCGGTTTCACTAATAATGCATAAATTTGAATTCTTCGTTACTGAATAAGTGAAAAGTACATTTGTTCACTAATTGTGAAATTGGGCCTTGTTGTTTTACACCACAATACTATTATATAACAGCAGTGGTTATGAGTTTATTTTTCAGTATTGTTTTTAAACCCAAAATACTGATTCACTTACCCATTTTTGTCTTCATTATATTAGTGTACTGAAATTTTAATGTTAAAATTAAATCCAAATCTTGACATATTGAAAATGAAAATTTAAAAATACAGAGACCTGAATTTGTCGAAATATTTCTAGCAACAGATCCACGCGACGGCTGGCTTGTCGCACGGCGTGGGGGGCGCGGGCGGCTTGTTGGGGGCGGGGGGGCTATTGTTCGCTCCCGGCGCCGGCCCGCAGCCGCCCCCGCATCTACCGCCGCCCGCTCATAAAGTAACTATTCACTGCACCTTATTCTACAGTTGATTTAACTTGCTTCTAAACAGATAAGAGGCACGTCAAACCGAAATTCAAAATTGCTACCTGACATAATGCACCCACCATTTTGGATTTGTGGTATGCCTCAGTACCAGTATTGAAGTAATGAGAGGTCAGGAAGTATTGAAGAACATGGAGATTTCGTACTGGATGTCGTAACGTAGGCAGACAATCAATGAGGTGGACCTAGTTAAAATTGCTGGCAAGGAATGGATACGAAAGGCAAGAGACCAATAAAAATGGAGGGCATATGAATAAACCTATACTTAGCGTTGGTTGGGTACAGGTCGAAGAAAAGGTCAGGAAGTACTACGACCTAGGAATGAAAATAGTTAACTATCACTACAAACCGGGTCATAATATCTCATCCTCCGATTAACGTTTAGGCAAACTATCTTCATTAATATTGAAATTTCCAACAAGTGAACCATTGACTCGTTCATTAATAGTAGAAGAGTAGGCTTTCTATTTCTGCTGGCTGCCTATTTCTGCCGTGAAGCAGTAATGCGTTTCGGTTTGAAGGGTGCGGCAGCCGTTGTAACTATACTTGAGATCTTAGAACTTATATCTCAAGGTGGGTGCCGCATTTACGTCATAGATGTCTATGGGCCCCAGTAACCACTTAACACCAGGTGGGATGTGAACTCGTCCACCCATCTAAGCAATAAAAAAAAACTACCTCGCATGTTTTTCTTCGAATATTGAATATTGTTAAGTCATTTAACAACAGATTATACTTGAATCACAGGTAGAGCTTCCACCTCCTGCCGACATAAAACCCCCAGTTCTGCCCGGGGGATCGGCGTCTTCTCAACTGATGTCAGGGCAGCCGCCCCCGCGGGACGACGGTCACACTTCAAGATCTATGCCATCGGTAAGCTTAAATCCTTCCCAAGAGTAAACATTTACTCAAAATATGTATATGTGATATTAGGAAACGTCACATTCTGAAATATTAGCTTTTAAAAATCTTTAATGGGTATAGATGATAGTAGGTTTATTTTATACTAGCGACTCGCCCTCGCTTCCCTTCGGAAACATTAAATTTTATTATTGATAGGCGAGTCCCGTGATGTTACCCGCGGTTATTGTCGTACCGCAGGTAACGCCGCGGGGCAAAGCTAGTTTAAAAAAAGTAGCCTAAGTTACTCTTTATATCATCAGCTACCTATCAGTGAAAGTCTCGTCAAAATCGGCCCAGCCGCTCCAGAGATTAGCCGGAACAAACAGACAGGCAAACAAAAATTGTAAAAAATGTTATTTTGCTGTATGTACCGTATATATATTCATATGCATGTAGTAAAAAGCGGCTATTTCAATATTAAAAACGGACACACTAATTTTATTTATATGTATAGACTGAGAAAAAACAAATACATAATAATTATTACCGAAATATATTAGCTTGGAGAAATTGAGATTAAGAATTCTAGTTTTGTTTTCTCGATCATAATATACAATTTATGGCAGCGGTTTGATGAGTGGAAACGGGCCTTTATAAAAAGTAATTTCACGCCGCTTTGACCAATTGCAACCGTAATAAAATAACGAAATGAGAGCGTAATTAAACCAAAGAATACTGTTTCTAACCTCTAATTATAATTTTGTAATGCAAGATCATCAGAATCGGTGATCTTGTTTTTTGTCTAGCTTTTATTATTTCTCGAGTGTAGACATCCTCAGATAGTGGATTAATTTCATTAAAGCAAATGATTCTCCTAAAAAATTTTGCATATAGTCTGACTGTACAATAGAAGCAGTTTGAAAGTTAAATGTTCCATATGAAATATTGGAATCTGTAGCTCTGCTTTAATGTATCTGGTGTGTTGATTTTGTCTGCCCTATCGTTTCAGAGACGTTCAGTGTCGCCACATGAGAGAGAACAGAAATACAGGCCCAGGTCTCCAGTTGAACCCGAAGCTCTGGACGCCAAACGCAGAAAAGAGGAGAAGGTATTCAGCCATGTGAGTCTGTGTAGTGTATGTGTCGCTTCACATAATACATCTTGTTGCTTTTGTCGAATCAAAGGGTTTGGTTGCTGGTGGCCGCTAAAATGTTCATTTTTTTTCAATATATTTGACTGTATAGTACTTGGGATTCGAGTAAACAACCAATCAAAAACAAGTCCCCCCAACCCCCCTCCCCTTTGAAATTTATTGTAATTTATATTTGGTTGGCTTTGGTTCGCAAATTCGATTGTTTCGTTAGCTTAATTTGTAGTAACCATTCGTTTGGTAGTATTGAAACAGAAATCCATAACGATTGAAATTAAGCTGCGACACTTGAATTAATATAATTATAATAACGAATTAAATATACAAATTTTACGGTTATAAAATTTAGTTCTATGTTGACACGGGTCAAATAGGGTCATGTGTCGCTTTCGGTTTCGGCAAAAAAAAATACGAAGCCGATTCCTTCCAAAATGTATCTTATTAATTAAATTTGTTCGTTCCTAAATATGTGTAATCTTAACATAATAATTTATGCTGTTATGAATATATTTAAAATCAATAGTTTTTGCGTACACCGGTCGGTACCATTGAGAACGACGCTTATTTACACAGATGCGCTTCAAAACAAACTATTGAAATGTAGCTGGCAAACATAAATATGTAGTTATATGGCTGGAGTAAAATAATAGCTTCTTTTCATTTTGACATTTATAATACATATTTGTAGATTTTGATACTTATCGTCTTTTTTTTCGTTTTTTTTAATACGTTTTAGGACAGCGACGCTGAGAAGAGCGATCAAGACCTTGTCGTGGACGTGGCCAACGAGGTAACTATCATTTGGGAGTATATACATTTTTTTGGAGGGTTCCGTAGTTAAATTGTAAGCCTTATTTATGCAGTCTGTTTGTAAGTATGAGCCATTTGACAAGAAGACTGGTGACGTATGGCTTAGCGAAATTATAAAAATAGAGTGGAATCAAGGGTTGCCAGTTCGGCAGAAAAAATAATAATTTGTTCTGTAATTATCTGTAATCGGCTATATAGTCATAATCAGATGTGTTCTAAGGAGTTCAAGTTGTGGATGATATTACATTAAATGTCATCAATTACAGCAGTATACTACTCGGCCCTTGGTTCTATTTAGAACATGAAAATGACCAAACAATAAGAAGAAAGTGTTTCAGGCAGCAGTGTGCTCACTTATAAATTAGTTTAAAATTATCGGGACGCGTGAAACTAAGGGTTGTATATAGGTAGATGCTCATACGGTCTAACATGAGATTATGGTGCGTGATCACTGTGGTTCACGGAAATCGACAATGCCAGGGGCACAGCCAAACTGCTCTCTGTGTATAGTATACTGTGTATTGTGCATTCAACCGAACGCTTTTGTCAGACAGGCGGTACTGTTCTATTTACTTTATTCACTTCGTTAATTTTTACCATGAAATAATGCGATTTTAAACGTCTTAGCTATTCCGGCCGTCTGACAACCCTATGTGACCCCTTTCTGAAACGAAACCGCGTAATTTAAAAACATTCGTTCTATTTACTTTGTTCACTTCGTTAATTTTTACCATGAAAAATAGTGATTGATTTTCAACGTCTTTGCTATTCCGGCTGTCTGACAACCCTATGTAACTCCTTTCTGAAACGCAATCGAGTAATTTAAAATTGTATCCTATTGACCGATCGTTTATCGTTAAATATCTTTGAAATTGAAACACGGCGTAAAAAATATATTTTTAGGAAGAAAGAGCATCACCGAATGCGAGAACGGAGGGAGGGGAGAGAACCGAGAATGGCCCCAGGCCCCCGTCCAGATCAGGATCTTCGTCCAGTAGATCGACGCCTAAGAGCTCCAAAGATGTAAGTTTATTTGATTCGAGAACGTCGCCAGAACGAGCGTTCTAGTTTTAAACGGTGTGACGTCATACGTGCTGACGTCACACGTGCTGACGTCACACTCGATGGATGACGACCATTGTTTTCGAGATTTGAAATTCGAAGATTGTGTATATTTGTCTTTAGATGTGTGTGCCGTCAGCCATCTTGAGTGGTGAGTTCGAAGTTTGAATTCATTTGTTCGATTGCTTAGCGTATGAACGAGTTCACAATCCACCCGGTCTTCAATAGTCACTCGAGTTCATAGACTTTACAGCGTGAATACGGCTTTTGGACTCAGACTTTAGGCCCAACTCTTAATTCTATACCTAAAGTGTTCCATCCGAAACGCATTAGTGCGTCGCGCCAGACACAGAATACTAGTTTTTTTTTTTTTTATTGCTTAGAAGGGTGGACGAGCTCACAGCCCATCTGGTGTTAAGTGGTTACTGGAGCCCATAGACCTCTACAACGTAAATGCGCCACCCACCTTGAGATATAAGTTCTATGGTCTCAATATAATTACAACGCCTGCTTCACCTTTCAAATCGAAACGCATTACTGCTTCGCGGCAGAAATAGGCAGGATGGTGGTATCTATCCACGCAGACTCACAAGAGGTCCTACCACCAGAACCGGTTTTTACGAAACGGGGCTCAAAAGTCGCTCTACCATCAGAAATGTTGTAAATTGTATTTTTATTGTATAAGGTCATATCGTCCTTTAAACCGAATAGTGTGGCTTCTTGCAGAAACAGACAGAGCCGTAGTAGAATCTAAGCACGGCTCCTTTAAAACTTTTAATTCTAACTTGAGCGATATTATCATAATGTAAAAAATATATATAAACAATACATTTTAAAATTAGCTTTATAAGCTGCCTGATCTGTACGATTTGTCTCCGTTATGTCACAAGATAAAATAATATAAGCTCTGCTTTCAGGAGAAACCTGGTACTCCGGGAGCAAAGTTGCCCCGGGCGCCCACCCCAACCGGTCCCGGACGTGGCTACGGCTTCCCCGGTTACCCTGGCTACAGACCCCCTCATCCGTATGAGACGCCGCACCATAGAACCAATGGTGTTGCTCCAGCGAAACCGTAAGTGTTCTGTTTACTTCATACAAAAAGGATAGGTTTTCATTTCATACTATTTGTGATTAATTAACGTATTTTTATTAAACCAAATCAAATTTTTGCAAGCTTACATAATTACGGCAATACGATACTATCTGGCCAGTCTGCTCATTATCTACCAGGCCAGAGATTTTTTAAAATTTTTAATTAAATCAAATCAAATTCTTGCAAGCATATAAAGTTCTGCCGGCAATACGATACTATCGATCTGGTTTGTTGATCATCTCTGTACTATTTATAAGGTACACCGGTTTATAAGGCGTGGTAAAGTTGATAACTGTCCCTTATAAATAAAACAAGTTAGTTCCGATTTTAGTCTGTATATTGTCACAAGTGTGCCGTGTCGGGCGGACTATGTACGACTGACTATAACGAGCGATGTACAACCGCATGCGCTACTCAAACTGGGTCTCTACAATCCCTCCGAGGAGAGGTGTCGGGACAGCTTGTTTTTTTTATTGATGGATGGATGAGCTCACAGCCCACCTGGTGTTAAGTGGTTACTGGAGCCCATGGACATCTACGACGTAAACGCGCCACCCACCTTGAGATATAAGTTCTAAGGTCTCAAGTATAGTTACAACGGCTGCCCCATCCTTCAAACCGAAACGCATTACTGCTTCACGGCAGAAATAGGCAGGGCTGCGGTACTTACCCGCGCGGACTCACAAAAGGTCCTTTACCACCAGTAATTACGCAAATTATAATTTTGCGGGTTTTATTTTTATTACACAACTAGCTGACCCGGCAGACTTCGTAGTGCCTCAATCGATAAATAAAAGAACTAAATTTTTATTTTATAAAAAACTAGCGACCCGCCCTCGCTTCGCTTCGGAAACATTAAAACACACATGAAACAAAAAAAAAAATAAAAATAAAAAAAGTAGCCTATGTTCATCAGGGACAATGTCGGCTTCTAATGGAAAAATAATTTTTCAAATCGGTCCAGTAGTTTCGGAGCCTATTCGAAACAAACAAACAAACAAATCTTTCCTCTTTATAACATTAGTATAGAAGTATAGATAAACTTTTGTATAAAATAAACTTAAAACAAACCAAATGAATCTGTTCGACAGGGGACGCATCAAAGGAAAAACAAAATTGTTATTTTTGTTTAGTTCCGAGCATTTTCATATTTATCTACCTTTTAAACCTTCTCTGGACTTCCACAAATAATTCAAGACCAAAATAAGCCAAATCGGTCCAGCCGTTCTCGAGTTTTAGCGAGACTAACGAACGGCATGTTATTCCTTCACCGTGCAAGTCAACCGTGAACGTTAACTTTAAGTACGTATTTAATTAGAAAAATTGGTACCCGCCTGAGATTCGAACACCGGTGCATCGCTCAACATGAATGCACCGGACGTGTTGACTTCAGAGAGAGTAGTATAGTGTTGTTGTGGGCAGCGCGTACTCGTACCACTCGTGCGGCGGCGGGGGGCTGCAGGCGGTGGGGTTCCCGGCGGACGCGCTGTCGGCGGCGGGCGTGCCGCGGGGCGCGCGCGCGGTGGCGGCGCTGGCGCACGGCGAGGTGGTGTGCGCGGTGGCGCTGTCGCTGGGCGGCGGCGCGCGCCACGCCTACACGGGCGGCAAGGGCTGCGTCAAGCTGTGGGACATCACCAACCCCGGCTCGCCGGCCACGCTCGAGCCGCTGTCGCAGTTGGACTGCTTGGTTCGTGCGCTGCTCATTCTGTTCCGTCTCAATCTATTGTCTTTTAAACATGCTACCCTATATAATAGAATAACTCCTACAGCAGGGGTCGGCAACCTGTTTGTCCTTAAGGGCGTAATACTAAATTTGAAAATCACAGAAGGTGCATATTTCACAGATAACAGGTATCAATAAGCATTAAAAAAAAACAGATTTTTTATAACTTTATTTTGTTGGTGTCATACACATAATTCAGTATGAAACTTGAGTGTCCATATTTTCAGCTAATTTCTTATAATTAGGGATATATTTAGAGTTTCTCGATCCTTAAGCAATTTTCTAAATGTGAATCATTAAGCTTTGTTTTTTTGAAAGAAAATAATTATTTCGGATTACTTGGTAATTTTAAATTCACGGTCTACGCGTGATCTATTCGAAATACGATCGCACACTAACAAAAAATACATGCGTATTATTAGTATCTAATAAATCTTAGTATCTCAAGGTTAGCAAATTGCTAATCTATGCACAATCCTAAACTCAACTGACTACTTGCTGTATATCGCCGTTTGACAAAAGTAAGTAAATCGCTCTGTCATACATTTACATTAGTCAAACGAGGGCGCATTAAAAATCGATCGGGGGCGCCGCGTTGCCGACCCCCTGATCTACAGAATAGAATCTTTCAACGCAATTTTTATTAACTACATAAGGTCCGATTAAAATGAAAATTTGTATATATATCAAGGACCAATACAATGATAATGTTACTGTCCTAATATCCAAACTAGCATAATTTTCTAAAATATCTAAAAGTTTAGATCCTGAAAACATTAAAAGGACAAACTCCATGAGCCACATCTGTATTTCGTGTGATTAAAAGTCTTATACCAATATATATTTGGGGTAAAGTCAGAACAGAAATTATGGGTCACGTTAAGTTTAAAATTAAGTAACCATGTTATTATCAACGATGGATGGCTTATCTGAACTAAATATATCTGCTACAGATTTATATCATATAAGGTACTCACGACTGAATGGTGTTGCAGCAAAGGGACAACTACATACGCTCCGTGAAACTCTTGCCCGACGGTCGCACCCTCATCGTGGGAGGGGAAGCATCGACACTGTCAATATGGGACCTCGGCTCCGGCACTCCGCGGATGAGGGCCGAGCTGACCTCGTGCGCGCCCGCGTGTTACGCGTTAGCCATTAGTCCGGATTCTAAGGTAAAATTAAAAGTTAGAAAAAACGTCTCCAAAACGGTTCTAATACCGGAACAAACCTTAAGCATCGGTCAGACGAAGACGAAGGGTTCGACGAGTAATCTAACCCATAGACACAGCCCACTGAGTTTCTCGCCGGATCTTCTCAGTGGGTCGTGTTTCCGATTCGGTGATAGATTCTGCGAAGCACTGCTTTTGCTAGGGTCAGTGTTAGCAACACCTTCGATTTGAGCCCCGTGAGCTCACCTACTAGTTCGGTCTATAATAATAATCTAGAATAACCTCTCGAGGCTACTAGAATAGGTAAAAGAAAAAAAATACCTGAACATACCTAAGCATTTATCGTTTCATTATATTCTACTATGATGAACTCACGGTCTAAAACATAGCACACAACAGTTTGTGTTGTCCAGGGCGTTGACCCGCGTGCTTGTCTCGATTATTCATTGCGTTACATTGCGCGCTGGACACAGTTGCTGTAAAGTAAATATCGATTTTAAATGGCAATAAATGGTATCCTTATATCTGAACGCGATTGGACTGAAAACATTTGCGATTATAATTTTCCATGACTTACGACCTGTATGTGTAATTTTCGTGGCACGTGCTGAGAATTTTCTGATACATTACTAAGAAATAATCGATTTAAAGCATAATTAAAAAAATTCTCTTTTTTTTTTCAGGTTTGCTTTAGTTGCTGTTCAGATGGCAACATAGCTGTATGGGACCTACAAAATCAAACACTAGTTAGACAATTTCAAGGTAACACTTTGCTAACATTTGCTTTGTTAACGATCTATTTATTAAAATGATATGATGACCAAACAATAGTTAATTAAAAAAAAAAATGGCAAATAGGGCCACAAATGGAAAGAAACTGGTTTTTTTTTTCTAAGAAAGAAGTGATATTTTTAAATTAAAAAAATATAACACTTAACTTGTCAATCCGTTTTCAAAATCACTTTTATATTGTAATGTTGATTTGTGTGTAGTTTTTGTCTTTTTCTTGGTGTCATGGACTTCTAAGCATTTTTAGATCAGATAATTAAAGAAATCTTATCCTAAAGTCAAATAGATTATGTATCGATTAGAATCAATTACAAATTGAAAATTCGAAATCATGGTTACTTTACCTTATGCCTCTAATAAATTATACAACTCGAGCTGATGATAATATTTTATTAAAAATGTTTGCTAAATCCCACTTCATTACTAATGACGTCATTTGGGGCGAAAATAAACGATGGACGAACCACAGATACTCTAATATATTATGATTGGCAACATGGCATTATGTGTTGTGATTGGAACTTGTTTAGATTAACTCGAAAAAATGTTATTATAGAATAATGATTAGTCTATTGAATATTTTGGAACGGAGTTCCTTATGGGACGATGCGGAGGGGTACCCTAACCGGGAAAAAACGTCCGTAACGTATGATTTTTATTAGTAATGCACACAGTGTACGACTTAACTTTGTAATAACGCACAAAAATAACACATATTTTTATCATTCATTGACCACGATCTCAGAGCGTTCGTTTGCGCAATACACTAACACTTATGCAAACAACCGTGAATGAAGTGTACCACAATAAGTGCGCACGTTACCGAATGACCGTGGGTTGTTGCGAAACCTCCAGTTTTATTTTCTTTATACCTCGAATAGAACTTAAAATTAATATTTTTATAATAAAATAATTTTGTTCCTATCCGGTGTCCCATGACACCGCACATCTTTTTTTAACACTAAACATACCATAGCGGGTCAAATGACCAAATTTGAATTTTTGCATTGAAAATTGACATATAATCTTATATCTTTTTCACGTTTGACTCCATGATTTTTCTTACCAATTAATCTACAGCAATTATATTATTATTTCTTTATTTTGAATAATACTTGTCGTGTACCGTTTTCTATCCGCTATGGTAGAAAGTGTTGGTATGATTAGCGTTAATTATTTCATGAATATTTCATGAAGTTATCGTGTAGGTGTCATTATTGATGATTTAGTCAATGTGTTTTACTTATATTTTAATTTCCAGGGCACACGGACGGCGCCTCGTGCATAGACATCAGCGGCGACGGCACGCGACTGTGGACGGGCGGCCTCGACAACACGGTGCGCTCGTGGGACCTGCGGGAAGGCAGGCAACTACACCAGCACGACTTCTCGAGTCAAATATTCTCGCTGGGATATTGTTCAACAGGTCACTACTCATTTCTTTATAAAACATTCTATTTCTTTTGCTTGCATCTTTAAAATATTTGTGCTACTGCTTAAGCAATATTGCACCTGTCACATAAGATGATGTTTGCTCGTATAAAATTACTAGTCGTACTCGCCCGATTTGCTGGGCATTTTAAATTAACATTATTATTTATTGTCATTATTATTAGGGACTCCAACACACATATAAATATAAGCCTATTATTTATTTATTATATACAAGCGGCGCGCTCCGGCTGCGCTCGGGTCTTTAACAAAAATTTCGACACTTTTTGTATATAATAATGTGTTCTACCAAGTCGTAATACGCTATTTTATTCTATCATCAATAGTTTTCGCAGGGTACGCGATGTAAAGAATATTTTAGGTAATTTTTTTACACCTTGGGTTACATTATTGGAGTTTTAGTAAGAATTCCAAAATTTTTTCAAAAAAGATTATAATAGCCTATGTCATTCGGGAATAGTGTAGCTTCCAAATAGTGAAAGAATTTTTCAAATCGATTTAGTAGTTTCGGAGCCTATTCAATACAAACAAACAAACAAATCTTTCCTCTTTATAATATTAGTATAGATTAGTACATGTATTTTCTACATGGATACAAAATGTAGCAAATGTACTAGAAACGCTATTGCCCTAAAAATAACTGTCATTTTATTGCCAATGCAAACAGGCTTCAAACTGAAAAACAAATTTAATATGTTTTATGTACAGAAACTGAAATGTGATATGAAGTAATAATGCTTTAAAATATACAAAAATGAAATTTTGTAAAACTGTAGTCGAATATGTAAAATAAAAGAGTTAACTGGACGTTTACTTTTCAGGATCCTGGCTGGCGGTGGGCATGGAGAATTCGCACGTCGAAGTGCTGCATTCAGGGAAGCCGGACAGGTATCAGCTGTTGCTGCACGAGTCTTGCGTTTTGTCGTTAAAATTCGCAACTTGCGGGAAATGGTTCGTCTCTACAGGGAAAGATAATTTGTTGAACGCATGGCGTACGCCTTACGGAGCTAGTATATTTCAGGTATGTCCTATATAATAAAAGTATAAACATGTAAATAAAATAAAACACTTTTTTTCGTGTAACAATTAAAAACATTCTTGTTGCTTTTCGTAAATTCTGGGTAACTAAATCCGGAATGAATTAAAATGTTTTATTATATTATCTCTCTAAGACCTGGCCATATGCTCTGAAAATTTTTCGTAAACAGTTTTTCTCTTTGAAGTTTACGTTTAGTTTACGTGATTTAAACTCACTAATTACTAAATGTAATACTTATTTTTAAGAGCAAAAGAATGTGGATAAGTGCTTGTCAATGGTGGAAGATATATAGATAATGATATTACACTAGGTACTATGTAATAATTTGGGTCAACACAATTTGCATTAAAATTTTGATGTCACGTCAACGGCATTGAGAAAACAGTGGCACAGCATTATAATTCGCTGTTTATTAAAAACGCGGCCCGTGCCGCAAAAGTATAAATGCACTTGGGAGGTTCATTACCACTGTTTCTATTTGCAATGAATGTTTTGTTATACCCCCCCCCATTCGTTGCAATTTAATTTAGGAATAAAGTTTCTTTAAAGATAAATCTTAAAGGAATTTATATTCTCGAAACGCAACATGCTATGTATGTATGTATGTATTCACATATACAATTCAATTAACCTTTGCTTTTCTCTCTGGCAGTCTAAAGAATCATCATCGGTGCTCAGTTGTGATATATCAACGGACGATAAGTTCATAGTGACGGGATCGGGCGACAAAAAGGCAACAGTTTATGAAGTCGTTTATTAAATAAATAATATATTACGGTAATCTCAGTGAACGTGGTCCAGTGAAGTGAAATGCAGTTTTATAGTGAATGTTGTGGGTCCCTGATGGTTGGCTGTTGAGTTATGAAGTGAAAATTGACGTTTTTTGTGTTGTTCATAGCTGCTTTAAGCAGATTAGTTTTTAAAATGTATCAATAAAGTGTCACCAGTGGTTATTTTTATTATAGAGAATCAAGTTGCGGTTAAGTACAATAATATGAGAATGAAATAATTAAAATTGAATCGTGCAATAGAAAAGTTTTGGGTGTTATTAGAAAAAATTAATAAACGAACATTATTGTGAAAAATATAAAATGTGGATCTTGTATAATATGTATACAGGTTTGGTCAGTTTAATTTACAAATCAATATCTTTGTTTGAAACCAATATAAGATGTGAGAACTGACACATTCATAATATATACTTAAAAGCATTTGAACTGTATTAAATTATTTAGAGACTTTAGAGCAACTATTGTTCAAAACAGATAAAATGTAACATACATAAATAATTGAGTTGACAAAGCTAATTCTATAACCATAACTTCAATCTATAACATTCTGTAACAGTACTGTGATCCTGTGTTGAATTGATATTAATGAAATAGTTATTTCACTAACAAAAATTCAACAGTCAACCATAGAAATGTAATTATCTATGTGTATTTTTTTTTAAATGTAATACTTAATATAGATCAATGTTGAAAGGTTGAACATGGATATTTTTAGTGTTATTATTAAAATATAATAATATTTTTGTAAAAGAAACGAAGAGGAAAACGTTATTATTTGAATAATTTTGAAGGTTCGTGGTTTCAGTTCCATTTTATGGTCATGTTAATGTTTTTGTTCAGTTATCGTTCAGAAGAAAATTGCTTTATGAATTATTTAATTAATTAAACGATAACAGTTTGGTTGAACATTGTCTATTGAACTCGTCTGGTGTTGTTAGTACATGCAGTAATTATACATTTTAAGACTATTACATGATGATTAATGAAAAAAAAACATCACAAAGACTTTTCTGATTTGAATAAATAAAACAAGAGCTGACTTAGATCAGTTAAATATGTAATATCGTTTTAAATTAAAGCTATTTTTAAATAGAAACTTAAGAATTGAAAATTTCGCCATCAGAACATCGTAAGAGTTGTTGTCAACTTCGTTTAAAATTATTATTATTTCAGTATTGGCGATAAGATAACGCTTAAAAATATCTTAGTAAATTTTAAATTGAAANTAAATAAATAAAACAAGAGCTGACTTAGATCAGTTAAATATGTAATATCGTTTTAAATTAAAGCTATTTTTAAATAGAAACTTAAGAATTGAAAATTTCGCCATCAGAACATCGTAAGAGTTGTTGTCAACTTCGTTTAAAATTATTATTATTTCAGTATTGGCGATAAGATAACGCTTAAAAATATCTTAGTAAATTTTAAATTGAAACTTCCAACTATTACCCTCAAATAGTACATTGTTCAACCATTCTTCTATAATGAATAACATACATTTTTATCAAAAAAATAATCAATTAAACATTTAATAATTTATGAAACTAATTGCTCTGGAACGATATGGAACATCAATTAAGGTTTTTAATCAACACGATTATTTTTATATTTTTAAATACAAATTTAATCATTAAAATTTTACAAAAGAAATACAAAATAAATTGTACTTCAGAGGTAAAGCGTAAAGTTAATTTTGTAAGACAAGTTTACATACAGTAAGACTCCAGTGGATAGCGAAGTGAAACTGTCTCACTTGTGGAATTGTATTATTATTATTATTATTATTTATTGCCGTTATACATGGACTAGCCTATAGCCCACCCGATGGTAAGTAGTGACCGCCCCTTAAGGGGATCAGCATTGCCAGGGGGGCTGTTAAGCCACTGGCTACTCGTATATAAATATACCCAATCAATGAGTCCACATGCATATCGCTTAAAAGTTCAATCTTGTACCATTGAGACAGAGAGACGGCTCAAATGGGCTCATCCAATTTGGTGGTAGGGCTTCTTGTGAGTCCGCACGGGTAGATACCACCACCCCGCCTATTTTTGCCGTGAAGCAGTAATGCGTTTCGGTTTGAAGGGTGGGGCAGCTGTTGTAATTATACTGAGATCTTAGAACTCATATCTCAAGGTGGGTGGCAGCATTTACATTGAAGATGTCCATAGGCTCCAGTAACCACTTAACACCAGGTGGGCTGTGAGCTTGTCCAACCAGATAATTAATTTAAAAAAAAACAAGGCAATGGAAATTATTGTATTTGATTTATTTATTGCATATGATAGCCCGCTTGATAAATGCTGTTACTCTAAGGACATGAGGCTGTAGTCATTTTATTGTATAGTGGCCACCCTACAAACCAGAACGTATAACTTTTCCACAGCAGAAATAGACCAGATGATAGTAGCGTACATACTCTGTGTACATTTACAATTAATTAGGTACTTACAATACTACACTGCATGTGAACATCTGTTAGCGATCGTAGTATGCTGCTATAATACTCAGAGTACTATGCAGTCCATTCTTTGCCGAATCTTTTAACCGTCTTTTACCACATTCCCAAAAGAGATGAGGTGGCACTTATCTAGACAACACACTGTCAACTTTCCTATACCACAGTATCATAATACCCAACATCTAAGAAATACCTTTGGTATCCGAGTTCAAGTAATGTTGAGATAGTTTTTAGTAATTATGTTTTTAAATTTTATATCATAGATTGGCTGTTAACTTTATATTTATTTCACAGGCTATTTGAAGTAGCGTAGACCCCTAACGCTCAGCGCTGTAGAACATACATACTTAAAGACAAGGTTGTGACGATAATTTTTATCTTTAGTATTGTTTAAAACAGGGTTGTGCAGACGATGGCCCGCCGGCCGCATGCGGCCCGCGAGCAATTTTTTAATCAGAAAATAGTTTTGGATACAATAGTTTGGTTATTAGAATTAATTCGTTTGCCAAAACTTATAATCAAAATTTGGTATAATTTATCTTTATTCTTGTAACACTTCATTCCCATGACATAATTTAAAAGTGAAGCTATCTTTTACTATTATTGTGGGTATTCCCGGAGTCTTATGTTTTGGAAAATATTTTTTTTTGCCTTCAGCTTTTGTAGTAAGTAAATTTAATTAGCCCGCAAAGGTACGTAGTTTGGACAACCCTGCCTTAAAACATTAATACATATATATATTATACTTCAAGCGTCATCCAGAAGTAGCTATGGATAAATTTGTACAGCAGCTGTAAGTTCCAAGATGTGCATGTGGTATTGACAATGTGCTAGATTCTTGTTTCGAATGTCTCATCTCTTATACCTATATGTTAGTTTCAAAAAAAAATTTTTTTTAAAACACTTGTTACTGTAGCTTTACTATAAAATTCACTAAGCCTACATACCTATTTTCATAGGTGTTATATAAATATCAAAACTGTGTAACTACCTTTTACCTCTGAAACACTGCGGTAATGTATTATTTAAATATATCGACGCTTGAAAGGCAAATGTGACTAAGCGACAATGCGTGAACTTTACAGTAGACTAATTTAAAGTTGAAATTAATTTAAAATATACATAAGAAATACCTGAAAAAAAATCTATTATAACGAATCTAGCTGTAGGGTTGAAATGATTTTAATAGACCTAGAAATATATATTTTTTGCGCGTCGAATATGGTTATTGCCTATCACTTCTGTACAAAGCAGTTATTGTCGCTTAGTCACGTTTGCCTTTCAAGCGTCGATATATATTTATACGCTGTCGACGATTACGATGTTTATTTTTGGCTATAATGTTGTTATTCGTGCTGTTACGAGTAATTCGATGTAAAGTTATTAAAAATATTGTTGTTCTATGTATAATGCAATATGAATGGCCGATTTATTGAACTGTCATACCAGCTTTTAGATTTATTAACAGATCAAAGGTGAGCATGATGCCAACCTTCAAAAAGGGAATACTTTCACGGTGCTAACAACCCAACGCCTTTAGTGATCACGGCAAACCTATCATCGGAAGTTTATTATATTTCTATATCATAAAAATTCAACATCAGACTGAAAATGGAATATCTAAAGCGTATCAATGCATATATACATGTGATGTCAATTTTAAACAATTGAATATTTATGTGGGTGTTCGAAAAACGCACAACGGCATTTCAAATCCAAAGACGATCTCGGTGGTAATGTTGCCAGTATTAGTGTTTTGACGTTTAAACTTATTTGGTACGCATTTCAAATATTGTGTTCTTTAATGATTTTTGTTAATGCACAAAAGTTCCTTTCACACTGCCTTTCCATTGTTGGTTTACTTTCAATTTTGGAATTTGTCCTTTTATAAATGTTGCTTCATTCAAATAAGTTTAAACCAACAAAAATTAGTTCCTTTTTGTAACGGTAAAGGATTCCTTTTGTATTTAATACTCAAATGTATTAAATGAACTACCGACTGTAAAATGATCTGTGAAATGTGATATTATGTCACTAATGACTCGATGTTATAATTAAACGCCGGATTTGACTGTAGATTTGTTATTTTCATTGAAATTTAATTGTATTACTTTGAATATATTTATTATTTGGATATCAGTTTGTTTTATTTGACATTGCGTGATTTCTGTGAAATTATATTGTAAGTAGTAATCTGTTACTAAAAATGTTCTGTTCTTTCATAATAACATGTTTATGAGGAAATCAAACCAAAATATTATTAGAAGTTTTTTGACAATAGTGATAGCTTCCAAATAATTCTCTAATAAGTGAATTTTCATAAATGTCAAGTCAATGGCAAGCTTGAGCTAAGGAGCACAGTCTACGTGAAAAAAGTCTAGCAATGAGGTGGGTGGCGCTACCCTAATTGTAGCGCAACTATATTATGTGATATAATGTGACATATAGCGCCAAATGTTGCTATACTAAATTTTTCACTCGGCACACTTCACTCTGTTCTCAATTGTAGCGTGTAGCCATCATAGAACACAAGTTATTAACGACTTTTTCAAGATGAGCTTGCCTGTTTGCAAATTCCGAACAATAATAATAAATGGACCGTCGGTCTACTGAGCAATTTTACCCACTCGGTGAAAGATATTTCCTTTATCGTAGTAGCTGGCAGTAGCCAGGCAATTATGAATAAATAATTAATCACAATAGTCGAACATAGTAAAATTGCTATTCCAACTTTAATCACTAAAGGGATTTACCTTATAGATTTGAATAGATTTAGTGTACAAAATATTATATGTCCTGAAATATGATGTAAGGCAAAGAACCAAATCTATACCTACATTTTAAGCTTCGAGTTTTTACTTTTTTCATTCTAGCCTATTTTATATTATTCAGTAGATGGCTGGAGAACTCACGGCCCTCCTGGTGTTAATTGGTTACCGGAGCCCATAGACATCTTCAACGCAAATGCCGCGATGCCGCCACCCGACACATTTATCCGTTTTTACAGTATAACTGCTGTTGCGCTTGACAGCAGCGCTCTCAGTGAATCATACCAACGTACTGCATCCGTCAATTGGTTTTAACTAGTCGTAGAGGCATAGGCTCGTAAAGGTGGGTACAACCACCTTGGTTTTTTTTTTTCGCAAAGTAGTCGTAAGTACGTTCCAGTTTGTAGGGTGAGACAAGTGTTAATTGAGATTTCTACTTCATATCACAGAGTCTATGGGCTCCAGTAACCACCAGGCGGGTCGTGAGTTTGTATTCAATAATTAAAAAATACTACCTTCAAAATGTACAAAAATAGGCCCTAGAGTGCAAATACTTGGCCTTTCCCGTATTAAAAAGATAAAACACTTGTGTTTTGACATTTTAGCATTGACAGTAATTACGCAGATGACGTGACGTGTAGTGTAAACCATAGATTATACACTTAATATATTAGAGGTGTAAACCTATAGCACAAATATAAACATCAAACATCTGAAAATATTATTGAATTTTCCAGTATTTGAATTTTACTAAACAATTTAATATGATTAACTGATAGTATCTATAAAAGTAAAGATGTCAAAATCTAATCTCTTAGAAATAGTACCAGACGAACTATTCCAATCTCACTCTATCAACGAGATTGATCAGGTACAGAAGAAGCTACAATATGAAATTGAAAGGAGAAGAGAAGAATTGCGTGCTATGGTCGGGTGAGGATTTTTTTGTCTAATTAAAAGAAAAAAGTAACCATACCCATAAACGATACAATTGTTTTGTAATGGTGCATTTAAATGTTTTTGCCAGGGAGAGGTACAGAGACTTGATTCATGCTGCTGATACCATTGAAGACATGAGAGTTACGACAGCGAGCACTTTGAATCACATCAGTGAAATGATGAAAGCATGTCAGAATTTACATAACACACATTTAGTTGGCTTCAAAATTAGTAATGCTCCCACACCAACTCAAAGGTATTACTATTTTTTCTGTATTACTTACATGGGTTAACCAGTTTACAACCTATCTGGTGCTATGCATATTTATGAGAACCTAAAGCTGCTACCCACATTGAGGCATGAAGACAATGATTCATTTGTATAGTGATTATGCAAATTGAAATATTTGTAAGTTTAATTTTGTCACACGATATTATTAATTTATTGTGGAAGTCATTCATTTGAAAAATTAGTACTTTCCTCCACGGTAATAATACTTCAGTACACTCTTGAGGTATAAGTTAATCTGCACTGAATGATGAGGTAATTGTAGGCTTGCAAATGATTCAAGCTTGAAAATAAATTACCTCTCTTGTGAATGAGTACATCTATCTATCTTCTATTTTCTTCTTCTATTTTCTTCTTCTATTTTCTTCTTCTATCTTCTTCTTCTTCTATCTTATTTTTCTTCTTCGATCTTCTATATATATAAAAATGAATTGCTGTTCGTTAGTTTCGCTAAAACTCGAGAACAGCTGTACCGATTTGGCTAATTGTGATTTTGAATTATTTGTGGAAGTCCAGAGAAGGCTTAAAAGGTAGATAAATATGGAAATGCTGGGAATTAAATAAAAATAATAATTTTGTTTTTCCTTTGACGTGTCCCCTGTCGAACAGATTCCTTTTGTTTGTTTTAAGTTTATTTTATACAAAAGTTTAGGTCTTTTATTTATCGATTGGGGCACTACGAAGTCTGCTGGGTCAGCTAGTAGTTAATAAAATTATCACATCCATATAATATTTCAGTTACAATGTAAATTCAAATCAGCTGCATAGCTTGTCTGTTCAACTGAAAATCTTAATGGAAATTCCTGAAAAGATATGGACATGCATTGAAGCAGAGGATTTTGTGAAAGCTACCCAGCTGTTTATATTTGCCAGGCACGTTAACACAGGTGAGAATTAAAGTTAAGCGAATATAATCCAATCTACATTTATATTTTTAAAGTAATATAGTATTTATTATTTCCATTAGATTGTATTTCAAACGCTGAAAGTAGTTTTAATTTTGTGTATGAATTAGGAAAATTGAGCAAATTACGCTACGGGTGTGCAGTTCAATAAATATATAATAAAAATAAATAATGTTTTTTTTTCTTTCTAATATTATTACAAAATATTAGATTTTATTATTTTGTAAATAACACAGGGATCATAATTATGAAAGACTAGCTGACCGGACAGACTTCGTAGTGCCTCAATCGATAAATTATAAAATAAACTTAAAACAAACAAAACAAATCCGTCTGACGGGGGACATATCAAAGGAAAAACAAAATTGTTGTTTTTGTATTTCATTCCGAGCATTTTCATATTTATCTACCTATTAAACCTTCTTTGGACTTCCAAAAATAATTCAAGACCAAAATTAGCCAAATCGGTCCAGCCGTTCTCGAGTTTTAGCAAGACTAACAAACAGCAATTCATTTTTATATATATAGATATAGAATAGATAAAAAGTGTTTAACTTGGTTATGACAATTGTGCCTTAATTTACATATTTTGATTCAGATGACTCTTTGATTTTACAAACTGAAAGATGCTTTATGTATATATAGGTTTGCAGCTGCAAATAGGAGGACGGAATTCACAGCCCGGCATACAATCATTTCATAGAATGGTACAGCAACAGTGGAATTCGATATCGAATTTCAACCAGACTATAATTAGAGTATGTAAGGAGAAACTGCAGAATGTGGAAATAAGTGTTGAGGTAAGTGCCTAAGGTAAACCAATTTGGTAAAAAGTAGTTTCCTATAAATAACATAATGTATGGGTCACATGAGGTTCAAGGTTCTTTTGTTACAATAACTGTGGCCTTATTCTTTTGAGTTGAAGAAATAAAAACTTTTTTTCATATATTTGTGTGGGATTACCATATTTTAACAAAAGTTTTTAAATACACTAAAGGCTTTATCTTTTCTTGAGAAAGACCCATTATCCGTTTCAGATTGCGTGCTCCTGTTTGGTTAGCCTGTATCTTCTGGACTCCCAAACAATGGTCGAATTACTTAATACACTAATAACACTACATAGTAACAATAGCTTGAAAGCAACGCTCCAGTTTGATTTAGCTAAAATATTAGAAGGGGATGTGAAAGCTCAAATCAAAGAGAAAATTGTGAACGGAGTTAAGAATGTGTTAAAGACTGTTGTTTTGGTTTATGCTTGTTTTGTTGGTGAGTTATATTATCTATCTCCAATAGACTATTGTACAAGTGTAAACAAATGTGCAGTGTGTATTGTTGACATATTCTATATTATATTAGATTATACTGTAGATCAGGGGTTCCCAAACTTATTTTGTCTACTGCTCACTTTGAGAATAAATTATCTTTTAACGCCCCCATTTTTTCACCTACTTAAAAACGACTTTAGTGAGTGCTCAGTCGATGTCTAAGAGTCCTAGATGAAATTATAGACACAAGGCCCCCTTTTTTTCTGGGTCTCTTACCGCCCCCCCCTTTAGGCTTGCAGCACCCATAAGAGGGCGTTATCGCCCACTTTAGGAAAGGCTGCTATATATATATAGATTAAATATTTATTACAAATTTTAATTATTGCAGATGATGCAGGCGGAGCAGTATTGTCGAAGCTAAAAGAACTCTTCAAGAAAAATTCTCAACCACTTCTTGAATTAGTCAAGTTCTCTGATCCTAATGCATTAAAACTATTACCACCAGCAATATCAAATTATAGGTGTGCATTAATATTAATATTATATTATGTCCAGTCTATATTTGAACAATTTGTATTATTAAGTATCATTAATTTGATTTGTAAATGACTTTAAGTCTGAGCTCGTATTATGAACAATTATGAGGTACAGACTTCATATAAATGTAGGCCGCATTGAGAAATAATTGGCATTAAATGCAGATAATCAGCAAATTAATATATTGAGTTTGATATCAACGTTCCTCATCATGGAACCGTCAAAGAGTATGCAACAGATAGAGTTTATTTATTTCCAAAAATATACATGTCCACACTCAGGACAAATAATAAGTCAGTTTGTGGAAGTGATGTTATATTTTATATTTAGTTCGACAATAATAATTTGACAAAAATTTTGAAAACTATAAAAAGGGCGCCAAAGTCATGAGTATGTGAAATATGCACAGATAATATAAAAAATGAGCATTTATGCGTTTCGTTTCACGCTGTGTAGATCTTGGACAATACACATTTTCTCTTATGAGCATCTCTTTATGGTTTTTCTTATATACAGGCTATCAACAACACAAGAACCCCAAGCTTTAGAGGAAGCGGACATAAGGAAATCAGTTCAAGTTTGGAATGTTTGGGTGAAGTCTTTCATCGAGACCAACGTGCAGACTCTACTTCAGAACGTGACGAGAATCAAAGTACTCCACGAAATAAGAGAAGAAGCATTTAAAATTGGTAATTATCTATACTTCTATACTAATATTATAAAGAGAAAATATTTGTTTGTTTGTTTGTATTGAATAGGATTCGAAACTACCGAACCTACTGAGCTTGGCTTATACCAAGTGTGAATTCGAAGCACAGATGGTTAAAGGATTCATTATTGGGAAACGTATGTGAGAAGTGGAAGGCTGAATGTTGGAAATGGAAGAGGAAATGTTGAACGGTAGAATAGTTATGTTAAACTCTTCTTCAAAATGAAAACATTTTGTAAAATGATACCTACAGATATGTACAGCGCNACTACCGAACCTACTGAGCTTGGCTTATACCAAGTGTGAATTCGAAGCACAGATGGTTAAAGGATTCATTATTGGGAAACGTATGTGAGAAGTGGAAGGCTGAATGTTGGAAATGGAAGAGGAAATGTTGAACGGTAGAATAGTTATGTTAAACTCTTCTTCAAAATGAAAACATTTTGTAAAATGATACCTACAGATATGTACAGCGCGCAATATGACTAAAACATTAAGCACTTATATCTGGAATGTTAATATTGTTTTCTTTTTTGGTCAATAACCTATACCCTGTTTGGTGGATATACTGCCAATACTAAAGTAATTTCATTTGCAGAAACGCCGCCGAACTGGAGTACAATTTGCTCGTCCCTGGATATTCCCGATGTCCACGTCTGGTGTCACTACTACCAGCCACTTTTAACGGCTCGTGTCAAAGCGATAATAGACACCCGATGGGGGAAACTGTATGATACTTTCAAAACACAGATATTAGTGGACTTGACTAAGGTAAGACACGCTCCCCATGTGACCAAGGATTTCGATCCGTTCCATAAAAATGCGTATCTAGATTTTCATAATCATCCTACAACACAATTAAAATTATAGGATTTTAAAATCCTCTTTCAACCGTTTGAATGACGTCATTTTTTAATTTTTTTTATTGCTTATATGTGTGGACGAGCTCACAGCTCACCTGGTGTTCAGTGGTTACTGGTGTCTATAGACATCTACAACGTAAATGCGCCACACACCTTGAGATATGAGTTCTAAGATCTCAGTATAGTTACAACAGCTGCCCCACCCTTCAAACCGAAACGCATTACTGCTTCGCGGCAGATATAGGCAGAGTGGAGGTACCCACCCGCGCAAACTCTCGAGAGGTCCTACCACCAGTAAAAAATTCAGTTCATAAGATGTTCATTGATTTGGGAGATTTAACGAAAAAGGGAAAATCTTTCACTGAGCGGGTGATACTTGCTCGGTAGACCGACGGTCCGAATGTTGTTGTTCGGAACTTGTATATGTGGGATTTGCTCAAAGTAAATAGCAGTTTTTTGGAAAAGTAACAAATTTTTTTTACATAACACGTCGTAATCGTTCAGAGTCGTTCACCCTCATACTATGCCCGATCGCCATCTTGACCATTTCCCTTCCGTCCCTTTCTTCCTCATACACTCATCCCTTTCACTCGAAAACGTTCCGCTTCCCACACATATATGCAAGCTTATCTTCAAAACGTCATAAGTGAGATTCACGCATCTGTCAAATATCTTGTGTTTTATCATAGCTACCTTTTCCGATAATTGTTTCCAATTCCTTTCAAAAATTTATAAGACGTTTTGTTTTTTGTTTTTTTTAAGGTATCATGTGAAAGCGAAATGGAAAAGGAATCCGACATAAACTGGTTCGTGTGGAAGGATCTCATCGGGGAGACGGTCATAGAGTCCAGAAGTGACGTCGTCAAAGTCATGAACTCTCTAATGAAAGGTGATCATTTGACAGTAATAATAATATTAAAATCATAGAAGTTTAAATACGTTATTCCAATTTTGAATGACATTACCTAAAACTGTTTTAATCGCTTCTATATAATATATTTATTTCCAATAGGATTGTTGGAAATACTGAGTAAAAAATTATGGTTCGGTGGAAGATATTTCCCTTATCGTTTGCTCTATATTGCAATTACAGCTGACATTCACACCCTCGCGTTTCATAAAAAACTTTCTATATATAAATTTCCGAACTTAATTTTTTAGTGTTATCATGCTTAGAATCATCAGTGTTACCAGCTAATTTTTTGTTTTCCGTTCGAATACAATTTCTATGACGTAAAATGCAGCCTATTATTTCGTATTCCGAATCGACTACCCGTGATCATGACCGTTTGCAAGAACGCCGAAATACTGGTAAATCATTAAACTTAAAAATCGTGGTAAGAATATATTTAAAAAAAAAATGTGTTGTGTCGTGGGACACCGGATAAAAACGAAGTTCCTTATTATAAAAATATTAATTTTAAGTTCTATTCGAGGTATAATGAAAATAATTATTCGGGTATACATTTTTTATTATGATTTTTTATTGATAAAAATAATAATAAACTACTTTACAAAGTTATCAACTTTATTTTATTCACAATGATTTATAAAAAATATATAATAATAATATACAAAGAAACAGCTATTTATATGAATAATAATAACCGTCATCACGTAGAGTATACATTTAGCACTGTATAGCGATCACACTAAGACTATATATAAACAATAAAAATCTTACGCTACGGACGTTTTTTCCCGGTTAGGGCACCCCTCCGCATCGTCCCGTAAGGAACTACGTTCCAAAAAGTTTATAATGTAAATAACCTTGAAAGTTTAAAACAATTATATTATTACTGCAACTTCGACAATCTCACTAATGATGGTGCTTCCCTGATTGTGAAAGTCTTAAATACTCACAATTTAGTAGATCATGCCATAATCGAGACTCATTTGTTTAAATAATCAACATTGATTTTTAATCTATACATATAAATAAAATTGAAGTGTCTGTTTGTAATATTGAAATAGCCTCTTTTTACTAAATGCATATGTTACAAATATATACGATGCATACACCAAAACATATTTTTTTACAATTTTTGTCTGTCTGTCTGTTTGTTCCGAATAATCTCTGGAACGGCTGGATCGATTTTGACGAGACTTCACTGATAGGTAGCTGATGATCTAAGGAGTAACTTTTTTAGACTTAGACTAGCCTCGCCCCACGGCGTTCCCGCGATACGACAATAACCGCGGGTAACATTGCGGGACTCAGCTATTATTACATAATTTGAAGGCATGTCCCGACAAGACCACGGCTACACCCCAACTCTGGAGAAGCTGTGCCAAACTCTGGATAGCGAATTACAGAAGCTTCTAGAAGATTTAAGAACATACCTGTACCCGGAGAAGAGGAACGCACGAGACGGCCTGCTGTTTGACTACGAAGAGGAAAATGGTATCGATCAAATGTATATCGATAAGGAAGATATCGATTCGTATCTCAGAGACGTCTCCGACACTAACGTCGAGAGGTGTGTTTTATTTCTATTTTATTTTTATTGCTTAGATGGGTGGACGAGCTCAGGGCCCACCTGATGTTAAGTGGTTACAGAAGCCGATAGACATCTACAAGTACATCTAGTTTTTACAATACAACGGCTGCTCCACCCTTCAAGCCGAAACGCATTACTGCTTCACGGCAGAAACAGGCAGGGTGGTGGTACCTACCCGCGCGGACTCACAAGAGGTCCTACCACCAGTAATTATGTAAATTATAATTTTGCGGGTTTCATTTTTATTACACGATGTTATTCCTTCAGCGTGGAAGTCAATCGTGAACATTTATTAAGTACATATTTCATTAGAAAAATTGGTACCCGCCTGCGGGATTCGAACACCGGTGCATCGCTACATACCGCACGTCTTATCCGGTGCATTCGTGCTTTATAAGAATAACAGAGCCTAATATTTAAACCAGTGGCTCTCAACCACAGTGTCGCAATAAATTAGTGGATCGCACCCTCCCCGTTCGAGTGTGCTGTAAGAATTATAATAACGATATTTTTATCTAAGGTGACCTGGAGGATAAGCACCTCTAAGGTACGGATTAAAAATACAATTCCATACTGTATTATATTCATAAAAAAAATTGCATCCGAGTACGTAGGGCTTTCTCGAATTTGTGAAGAGTATGTTAGTGGGTTGCCGAATATAAAAAAAAGGTTGAGAGCCGCTGGTCTGAACAATCAATCTTTTAATTCAATCTGGTATTTTTGAAAGATTTACGTCTACCTATTTAATTTAGGAATGAAACTTCAAAACTGTAAACCACATATCAGAATCGAATTTATGGCGAATATCTATTTATTTCTTGCATTCGGTAATTGTCTACGAGATAATAAACAATTTAGATGTTATGTCCAAAAGACGAGCTAAACGCATGCATGCGTTTTCTTCCAGCGAACTTAAATTAGAGCAAAATAAAGTTCAAATTCAGTATTAAATATGTATGTCTATTTGTAGTTATAAGAAGCGGAAGGCTTAAAGTAAACGTCCGATTTTGATACAATTTATTGCGGTCTTGATGGCAAGCGATAATGGTCTTTATAAATATTTCATTACAGCATGATCCATTACATAAAGGCTTGTTTCGAGGAACCCACGCTTCAGTCTACGGAATTAAAACGAAAAACAACTGCCATATACTCGGCAAGACTCACCCAGGCCATAACGACCCTTATACCCCATCTACATAGGTGTTACATTCCCGAAACGTCCGATAGCATTGTTCTCTGCAACACCGATGAACATTGTATCAAACGTTGGAACTCTCTATGTGGGAAATTGAAGGAAAACTGCCTTTATTGTTGGGGGAAATGGGTCGATATTGTAACTGAGAAAATCGAAGATTTGACCAAACGTTTGCCCCAAGAGTTCACATTAGAAGCCAATATCGATTACTTAATGATGGTAAGCTATTTAACATATCCTTATGAGTTTCTACGACGTGGGATTGGGTTATAAATTCTTAATCAAATACCGGAGAGTTGGTATAATTGAAGACAAGTATTTCCTATTATAGAGTAATGATGACATATTTATAATCTATCCTAGTAGACTTCTTTTTATTTATTGCTTAGATGGGTGACGAGCTTACAGTCCACCTGGTGTTAAGTGGTTACTGGAGCCCATAGGCGTCTACAACGTAAATGCGCCACCCACACTTGAGATATAAGTTTTAAGATCTCAGTCTAGTTACAACGGCTGCCCCGCCCTTCGAACCGAAACGCATTACTGCTTCACGGCAGAAACAGGCAGGATGGTGGTACCTACCCGTGCAGACTGACAAGACGTCCTATCACCAGTAACTGATATGCTTGATCTCACTTACATGTGTTATTTTCAGCAATGGGACGTAATAAAAATAGTTGAGAAAGATGACGAAGGAAACTCTATAGAATCAACTATAAAAGTGCCATGCGGTCCTTCGTTAAAGCTACAAGAATATTTATATTCGGTCAGCAGGGTCTTAGACGAGATCGTACCTCACACGCTACCCATCGAAACACATCACACGTTTATCGACAAAGTAACGCACATCACTTTCTCGCACTACAACAAGGTTATAAGAGAGAAAGAGACGGATATAAATCAGAGATGCGCTCTTCAGTTGCTAATGGACGTTCGGCACATGACCCTATTGTTCGTTGCGAGAGAGAACAAGAAATACGTTGAGCTATCTCAAGAGATTTGTGAGTTTTTGAGGCAGAAGATCGATCCGTTCGATTATGACGTTTTTTATCCGTACATACAGACGAACCTTAAACGTTCTGTGCAGAGAGTTCAGGTTAGTATATATAATAATAAGAATAAATTTGTCATTTCATTTTTTGTGGGTGTTCGTAAAAAAACGATTTTTAAGTAGTGAATCGAAATACAATAAATTAGTGAATCGAATCGAATATTCCAGTGCAGAATTTCAAGTGTGAAATATGTTGCTATACATAATATATTAGATAATGAGGCAAACTTCTCCCGTTCTCATTCTTCTCGTCTTTTTTTTTATAGTTAAGGTGGGTGGACGAGCCCACAGCCCACCTGGTGTTAAGTGGCTGCTGGAGCCCATAGACATCTACAACCTAAATGCGCTACCCACCTTGAGATATAAGTTCTAAGGTCTCAGTATAGTTACAACGGCTACCCCACCCTTCAAAACTATCAACTATCTATATCACTGATATTCTATCTATCTGTCACTGGTAGAGTCATTCGTCAAAGAAGAGACTCGAGCCATAAATTTCAAGACAACGCTCTTTTAAAATAAATAACTTAATAAACAAACAAAAAAAAACAGAACGTGAACAAACAAATTTCAAAACAGAGGACATATTGTTATTATTGTTAAATTAACTGGAGATGATTTTTTGGCGGGAACGCGAGGAATGAAGCTGTGTGATTTGTTTTATTTTGTCTATTTAGTGTTTTTTCAGGCTTAAATGTGTAATAACGGTGGTTTATTAACTGTTTAATATCTATGAAAGTGCACAAATGTGGTAAAATGAAACAAATCCGCAGGACGTAACTTTTCGGGATCCTCCAAAAAAGTAAATAACCACCATTTTACTGAGATTATATTTCGTTTCATATCATCTCATCTCATTTAATTTAATTTCATGCCAGTTGATTAATGTCTCAAATTGATCACCTTCATTTCATTTCACTCCACATTATCATTTTTCATAATAGTAAGAATATAAAAATTAAAATAAGACATGACCTAAAGTTCTTAGTTACCAGCTCATAAAATTCTTTAAAAAAAATTTACTGGAGGTCTATTTACAGACGTTACTAGGGAGCCTGATACTCCACCACGGTCAACTGGTTGGGATAATTGGCTCGAAGCCGATACTGTCAGGCGGCACCGGCGACAAGGCGGCCAGCCTGCTGGCGTGCGGCGACGCGCACTGGTACTCGCTGCTGCCCGTGGCCACTCCCGTAGCGCACCACAAGAAGCAAGATAAGGCGGTCAGTTCAACTTTTCATTTAATTTTCAGTATGGCAATCCGCTTCTCGTGACGCCATCCAGTCAACAAGTAAACTAACCAACAGACACAGCCCACTGAGTTTCTCGCCGGATCTTCTCAGTGGGTCGCGTTTCCGATCCGGTGGTAGATCACTGCTCTTGCTAGGGTTCGTGTTAGCAACAACGTCAGTTTTGAGCCCCGTGAGCTCACCTAGTAATTAAGGTTACGCTGATATGGTCTCCCTAGACCATCAGCTTAAGTAGGAAAGCTCGAGCGATGACACCTCGCCTCTGCCGAAGCACGCCACCCGCCATGAGCCGATAATTTGACGAGTAGTCGCGACTCAAATCCACTAAGTGGCGCTTTTTCGCTTCAGTTGACGTGCTCGGATGCGACTTTAACATGTCAAATAGTTTTCGAGACACAGTAGAAAATTCTAGGTGCCAGCCATGGTAAAGTTCTGCCCGATGTGAGGTTATTCAGTTTGATATGTCACGCGTAGCGCATATTAGGGAGTTCCGCGGCTCTCTCAAAAATAATGACTGTTCTTAATTATGGAGCGTTTCTATTTACTAATGGTCCCGCAGTAGTCGAAATTCGACTATAATTAATTGAAATTGTAAGTTTGTACACTATTATGATTTTGTTTTCAAAGACTATTATACTTCTATAATCACAAATTTCGCCAAGACTACACTATAGAAAAATATTGATAAAGACAAACAATATTTAATTTAATCTCAATTTAACCACAGACGTCAAGAACCAAATTTTGACAATTAATAAATAGTATGCATGCGTGTGTGCGTCAAATACATGGTACTGTGTGTAATGTTTTTTTTATTGATTTAATGTAACATTCTCCACTCCTTCTCTATTTTCTCTATAAGCGTGGGAAATTTCATACTCATCCGTCCGCGCAATTTTCGTAAAAAGTTATACAAAGTTTTTCCTTCACGTCATAATATATAGATTCTAACTTTAATGTTAAACAACTTCTAAATACTAAAGAAATGAAAAGACTTATCGTCTATCGACATAGTGCGTCAGGCATTGTACATGTTTATGGCGTTTGTGTGACAACATAATCCTTTAATTACTTGACACTTTCTAATCTGGTTTATCGTCATAGAAACAATATTATATTCCATTGTTCTTGGAATGCAATAAAGAAATACATTATCGGAAACGCTTTATCGATAATATCGCAGATTCACTTTGTCATAGGGATGTCTTGTAAGCAATATCCTAAAATGTCGATGTATTTCAAATTATAAATTTCTTTCTATTCGATATATATTAGAATTTTGATTGAATTCATCATCGTCATACGTAATGGATAGATTTATTAATTTTTAGATAAAAATCCAAGCATAAATATTATTTTGACACACTTCGGAGATTCTAGCACAGCCCTATATTTATTATTCGAACAATCTAGATAGTCCTGTTTATTGATCTAAGTGAAGATATGAAACGATTGTTATCGATTAAGCAATTAATATCGATATAAAGTAATTAATGTCTATTTTTACTTGAGGAACGTTCGTGGACCATTGACATGTGTAAAAAATACTTGATTTGACTTTTGTTCACACAAAATGATCTCTGGAATATTCCGAACAAACGAAAATAAGGATGAATTTTTAAATTATTTGTGTAGTTTTTTTTTAGAATCTCTACTAAGGTGATATATCGATTTTATGGAATTTATGGATTATGAAAGAAACTGTCATCTAATTGCTCCATGTTGATTTTGAATTATCTATATTTTAGTACGTGAAGAAAAAACTTTGTACCCCTTTTTACGACAATTGCGCGGACGAAGGAGTATAAAATTTCCCACACTTATAGAAAATATAGTGAAGTACAGAATGCTAATTTTTTTTATTGCGCTTTAAAAATACATTAAATCAATAATAAAAACACTACACACACTACCATGTATTTGACACAACACATATTATATACATTTAAACTATGTGTTTAAGGTCAAACTTTTGTTATTGTTTAAAGTCTGTGGTCAAACTGAGAATAGATTATAATATTGTTTGTCTAAAATATTATTTGTCTATGATGTAGTCTTGGCGAAATCTGTGATTATAGAAGTATAATTGTCTTTGACAATAGAATCATAATAATGTTCAATTTCAATCAATTATAGTCGAATTTCGACTACTGAGGGAGGGACCACAGACTTTAAGCAACAAGAAAAGTTTGATGATAAACAAACAGTATACATGCGTGTTGTGTCAAATACATTTTAGTATGTGTAATTTTTTTTAAACGATTTGAAGTATTAATAATGCAGAATTATAAAAAATATTAACATTCTACATTCCTTCTCTATATTCTCTATAAGTGTAAGAAATGTCATACTCCTCCTCAGCGCAGTTTTCGTAAAAAGGGGTACAAAGTTTCGGCTTCATATAGATTCCTAAATTTTTAGTCATCGTGGCCTAAAGTACTATACGCCGGATGCATTCGTGTCGAGCGATGCGACCGTGCCGGTGTTCGAATCCCGCAGGCAGCTAACAATTTTTCTAATGAAATACGTACTCGACAAATGTTCACGAAACTTCACTTCACTTGCGCGGTGACGGAATAACATCGTGTAATAAAAATCAAATCCGCAAAAGATATAATTTGCCTAATTACTGGTGCTTAGGACATCTTGTTAGTCCGCAAGGATAGGTACTACCACCCTGCCTATTTCTGCCGTGAAGCAGTTATGCGTTTTGGTTTTGAAGAGTGGGGCAGCCGTTGTACTGTAAAAACTGAAACGGAACTCTTGTCTCAAACTGGGTGGGGTGGCAATGACTTTATTGATGTCTATAGGCTCCGGTGACCACTTGACAACCGGTGAACCGTGAGCTCGTCCATACGTCTTAGGAATAAATAAACCACAATAATAAAATCACTTTACAATTTATTTATAATTGTGTTCTCTCCGAAAAGGATCAACTCTTCATTCTGTGATCACAAAACTACATAAAGGTTCGTGTGTGTGTGTGTGTGTGTGTCTGAACATAGTTTTTTTTTGTTGTTTTTAATTGAAATGTAATAATCCCTGTATTGATATCATTTACATCAGTTATGTGGCCAGCTTATCATCTTATCGAACATGGCGGCTCCATTCTTTATCGTACGTATGATTAATTTATCCAAATAGATTAATTAAAAATAATATTAACGCCATGATGTGAAATTATCGTGACCTAATTACCGTTAATAACAAAATACTTTCCATACAGAATAAAATTGTTTCAAGGTTTGGTCATTTGTTCATGAATTCATAGATAATTCACATAAATTAATTATAGATCAGCAACTCAAGCACTCAACAAAAATGTTTACGGGCGTCGGCCACTAGATGGCTTCGCTTCGATTATTTTCTCATTGCTCCCGTAGATGGAAGTAACATATTAACTATCCTATATTATATTTCTAATGAAAGATTTTGTAAATTTTCAGAAACCACAAATTGATAAAATTTAATCAATTTGTATATAACAAATAAAGACTTGTATGATTTATGATTTTATTTATTTTCCTTTTTGTAGTTGTACAATAATTAAATGCCTTAACTTAAACAGCATATAAGTTTAGGGACATCCGCTACAAGATGTCGCTAGTTTCCATACAAAAAAATATTTGTTTTAAAGTATCGCAGTTTCAGGGTTCTGCATGAATTCTCCTGAATATCGTCTCAAATAATTGTTTACGCGCGTTGGAATTATAACAGTTAACTTTTTTTATTGCTTAGATGGATGGACGAGCTCACAGCACACCTGGTGTTATGTGGTTACTGGAGTCCATAGACATCTACAACGTAAATGCGCCACCCACCTTGAGATATAAGTTCTAAGATCTCAGTATAGTTACAACGGCTGCCCTACTCTTCAGACCGAAACGCATTACTGCTTCAGGGCAGAAATAGTCAGGGCGGTGGTACTTACCCGCGCGGACTCACAAGAGGTCCTACCACCAGTAAAAAACTAACTTTAAGTAACTTTAACTGATCTTAGTTCAAAGTAAATAGGAGACTAACTTTTCTGAAACCGCGCTTTGTAATATCTATCTTTTTGGACGAAGATAACGCCATATTTTTAGAACGACTGTACTAAACTAAAATCTTTATTTTCCAGGTTAAAAAGAAGACAGTCACTTCGGCGAGCCCGACGAAACAAAAGTCTGATATCTCTGATATTATGACAAGTTCATTGCCGATCAACTTTGCTAATGCGCGTTCGGGTGCAGCTTCGTTCTTCAATTCGATGACTTCGGACTGGTTCAGCGGACAATAGACCTTAACTCATACGTGTCGTAAGGTCGATATAAACATTGAGCATTATGATTCGGTATTGGGTTATTAGTTCAATGAATTCGTTGCGAAGACTGCGGTTTTATTTTCGAAGCAATACGGTTTAATTTTGTTTGAAGTAATTTAGGCACAATTTCGCGATTCATTCGAAAGAGGACCCGCATCGTATGTATTTATAAAATTATTTAACTTTTGTTATTTATTCCTCTACGATTTTAGATTGATTTAGTAGATATGAAATTTTCATAATAATTACCCATAAAAGAACTTATTTGCATAGAGAACTTTTTTAACACGACCGAATTTTCTATCACACGGCATTCAATATATCAGAATAAACCTTTATTCGTGTCCGACGATTGTGACATTCATCAAATAAAGTTCCTTAAACAGAAAGGGGTAAAGTTCATTTTTGTAAAGCACTAAAAATGTGAGTAACGGTCCATAATTTGAAATAAGAATATGAAAACTTCTATCAAATATGGTTATGATGTAAATGAATATAAGTTACGCCATTGTTCAATCAATAAAAATATTATTTATTAAATATTAATATAATGTTTTTTTCTTCCTTTAATGAACAGACAAGTTCACGGTTTTTTAGACACGATGTTGAAGACTTAGTTCTTTTGTAAAAATGTATGGAGGGTAGAGGTAAGGAGAACCGTCTCTGTTGTAAAAAAGTGTCCGTTAAAATCTGCTAAATAAGGGTGGCGCTACAGTAGCAACCGGGCAAATTTAAAAAAAGGCGCTGAAAGGTATTAGAATAAGATAGAGAAATAAAAAAGGACGAAAGGACTGTAAGCACTACAAAATCACAAAAGTATTTTATTTAAAGCTGTTAAGAAAATGCAATCGATGTCTCCACGTTTTTCCACAGCTATCATTTTAGGTTATATTGACGAAATTAGTTTGGACTATGTAAACATGTAGAGTTCACATGTATAAATAATATTACACTGTCACTAATTACTGTAGTAATTAAATATATTAAATTTCCTAACTCAGCATACTTCAATCAGTTAACAACTGCTCAATTCATATCATACCCTGTGCCTATGCTAGCGCCATTCTAGAGGATTTTTGAACTGTTATTTAGTGCTGAAAGTGGGACACTTTTTCAAGTTTCTCCCATATTCAGACGGTTCTCTTTACCTCTACCCTCCACAAAAAATGGTTTCCTGACTCAGAACGTATTTCTCCGAAGTAATATTTAAGCTGTTGGTACCTATAATTAACTATACTTTATAGGCTGTGCTTTCGAGAAAAAACGTTTGTGACTTGTTTATCTGCCTATGTGGGTACTTTTGCTGACATTGACAGCTTAGACTTTTTAACGATGACAGCTCACTGTCCAGTTGGATAGGCAAAGGGAACTTAGTGCATTCATCTAAGTATTTTCTATTTACGGTTCATGTACATATTTTATGTGCAAATTTACTGTTACTACTTTTTGTTAGAATTTGGGAAGCAATAATCAGGAATTTCTTCAATTTTGCTACAGTTGTGCACATACGAATAATAAACAGGTAATTACATTTAAAAATGATAAAACAATGAATTGACAAAATAAAGCCATTAATATGACGTCGCGGCTTGCGTTCTCGCTAATACCATACCACACGACATCAAACCATTTACAGTTAAAATGTCAATGTATGCCAACAAACAGCCAATGTTTACGAATTTATTTACAAAAATCTATAAGAAGAAGACTGGTAGGTGCTCTATCTTGAACATGCTATCTAGCACGTATACCACCGGCCACAAAGATCCTCCTCATCCAAAGAGGGCAATTAAACGATTCTTAACTTAAAGCTTCAAGTTTATTTGAATAAAATACACAGATATAGATTACATAAATACTACATTGGATATATTGCAACATATCGTCTTCTCGCATTAAAAGTGTATAATCTCAAAACTTACTAATTTTACAGGAGAGTGTTTTAAAGGTTTAACATGTAATATTTTTAATAATAATCATATTTGCAACATTTATGTTTATTTTTTACCAGTTACATTAACTGTCCTTTAAAGTAATATAAAATTATGTATTAATTTTGTTAATAGTAGTCAAAATATAGATAAAGTAAAAACAAAAACTAAAACTAAACTACGCTCTTTTGACAGTATTTATGAGAAAAATACTGGTGATACCAAATGTTTACGCATATTAACTCAATTTAGAATATTTTTGGAAATTGTACACTTTTAATGCGAAAAGGCAATATAGGAATATATAGGGTCATCTTATATGTGTTATGAGAAAATATATTTTCTCACTGGCTCTAAATATACAATTACTAATATTGACAACGTTTTTTTACTTGCGTGAATGTACCAAAGATGTGATTCCACGAAATTGTATATCGAAAACCATAAATGTCAATTAATAAAAATGATTAAATCATTAGATTATTAGATTGCTTATCATATTTAACTAGTAAAAGTCTTTGTCTAAAATACAATAACCATTAATCGATTAGCACAAACTACGGTGTTTTTATAAGGACTTAATCGACAACTTAAAAAATGTATCTTATTTCTATTGAGTTAAGCTACAGTTTCCACCTTCTTCTTCTCGTTAGTACTTCTCGCGACCACCCTAAAGTTGTCGCTGTAGCCGTCGCCGTAGCCTCCAAAGAAATTACCTGCGTTGGTCGCGGGGTACCGGTCGAAACTGGATCTGTATTGGTTGTATCCAGATCTGTAGCCCGGGTAACCGGCACTGCCGCTCTGATATCCCGGTCTGTACCCTGCAACAATAACGTGAGAGCATTTTCTGTTAGATCTTGGATGACAATTCTTTCCAATGCGTGACCAATAACGCGTTAACACCATTCTCGATCCGGCGGACCGAATGGTAAACAGTCGACGTCGCCCAAAACACGTCAATTCGGATCCTCCCGATCCACTAACAGTGCTTTTAGTTACCCCAAGCACCGGTCATCGTTTTCGGCGAACCCGTCGCTTGTGACGAAGGGATCGGCGAGTAAATTAACCCACAGACACAGCCCACTGAGTTTCTCGCCGGTTCCTCTTAGTGGGTCGCGTTTCCGATCCGGTGGTAGATTCTGCGAAACACGGCACTTGCTAGAGTTAGTATTAGCAACGTCGTCAGGTTTGAGCCCCGTGAGCTCATCTACTTGTTAGGGTTACGCTGAAATGGCTTCTCAAGGCAAAAAAAAGCATTTCTCATGATTGCAACCGTTTTTCTTAGCACCCTTGTTTAATAGAAGCCTGGTGAATGCGTATTGAATCGTGTTAATATAAGTTCGTTCTTAGGAACAGGTACTGCTGTACATACTTAAAGCGTTATAAAAAATGAGTTTTACTATGAACGAATATCAAATTTTACGGACTCATTGTACCTACATTAGAATTTTATCGGTACCTAATGGAGGTCTCTATGGATTCTGCTTATCATTTCTTACCAGGAGGACCAAGACTGCTTAAAAATAAATTTTTCGATTACATATTTTACTCGTAAGTTATTCAAGTTGTATCTTGTTACAGTAAAGTCTACAAAAATGTCAATGTATTCTCATTCGACCAATGACATGTAGACAAAAGATTTTTCTCGTTGTATTAATAATGAAAACTACATTTATTTTCAATATTCGAAGTGCATAACGCTTGTATGACGAAGTGAACGATCGATCAATTACATCCCCAAGTGATTTTTTTAAATAGAGCGTTCACCTTGCTCTTGTAAACCAACGCGACTTTATGTAGAACAAATATTATGCAAGACCTTAATGTGAAACAAGAAATTTTGTTATCAAACAGGTGCAACGGACTGGAAATATTTACTTTTTTTCCTAGCTATGCTGATAACCTTAAGAGGCTATTTCAGCTTCGCCCTAACATGTAGGTGAGCTCACAGGGCTCAAACCGGACACACTAACATTGGCCCTAGCAAGAGCAGTGCTTCGCAGAATCTACCACCGGATTGGAAACGCGACCCACTGAGAAGATCCGGCGAGAAACTCTGTGAGCTGTGTCTGTGGGTTAATTTACTCGCCGAGCCCTTCGTCGCAAGCGACGGGTTCGACGAGAACAATGACTTATTTGCTGAAAATCGACTGTCGCTTAATGTTAGGGTTTGAATAACAGTAGCAGGCGACGTCCGGTGAAGCTAGCATAACCTAGCATAAGAAGCTAGCAAAAGGTTTCTAGCAATAGGTAAGAAGAAAAAGGCAGCATACAATTTCCCAATAATAATGTGTTCTTTTTTTTTTATTGCTTAGATGGGTGGATGAACTCACAGTCCACCTGGTGTTCAGTGGTTACTGGAGCCCATAGACATCTACAACGTAAATCCATCACCCACCTTGAGATACAAGTTCTAAGGTCTCAAGTATAGTTACCGTGCGGACTCACAAGAGGTGCTACCACCAGTAATAACGCAGATTATAATTTTGCGGGTTTTGATTTTTTATTCCTTCCTTCACCGTGGAAGTCAATCGTGAACATTTGTTCCCAAAAATAAAACGCGCACCAGTTGAAACGTCACTACTTTGATTGGAACAAAGGCGTAACAAACAGCATAAACTGGATAATAATATTCGACGCTCGAAAGGCAAACATGACGAAGCGACAATAACTGCTTTGTACATAAATGATAGGCAATAACCATATTCGATCCGCAAAAAAAATATATTTCTATGTCTATTAAAATCATTTCAATCCTACAGCTACTAGCTAGATTCTACTACAGATAGATTCGTTAAAATAAATTTTGTTTTCAGATATTTCAACTTTAAATTATTATTAGTCTACTATAAAGTTCACGTACTGTCGCTTAGTCATGTTTGCCTTTCAAGCGTCGAATTATACATTTTATTGGTGAGTTTCGTTTACACATTCCGAACAAGATACGAATTTGCATCGAAAACATTGACAATGGTGGGAAAGCGTTGAAGGTCGAACAGTATTGTAGACGTTGTGGCATCGAGCTGAATAACCGAAGCCGGCTATACGTGTGATTATACGAAATTAAAATAAAGCTAAAACGCGTGTAAAATAACAAGGTACGTGTGCGCTTCTTTCGTTTACCCACGGACACAGCCCACTAAGTTTCTCGCCGGATCTTCTCAGTGGGTCGCGTTTCCGATCCGGTGGTAGATTCTGGGAAGCACGGCTCTTGCTAGGGTTCGTGTTAGCAACGTCATCAGGTTAAGCCCCGTGAGCTCACCTACTAGTTAAGGTTACACTGATATGGTCTCACTAGACCAGTGATGGGCAAAGTATGGCCCGCGGGCCAAATCCAGCCCGCCGAAGTATTTAATCCGATCCGCCGAGAGTACATCCATCCTAAATATTCTACTCAGCATTTGGGCGCGTAAAATCAAATCTGACGTCTATAATTGAAAATCTTCGAATTTTTAATGAAAGCTGCAATTCGTCAGGAGTGTTTTTAGCTTTCATTATCTCATAATTAACTTGCCATCATTATAAGTATCTCGGCAGTCTGTCACAGGTATTAGTTTATTTATTGAAAAAAAAAAAAAAAGATTCTTTTCACTTATCTATCACACGCCTCACGTCTCACACGCCTAACAAAGCGTAAAAGTAAAAGGTATTTTGTTTATCAAAAAGCTTTTAATACAAAATACATTTTTTTCTATNAAAAAAAACAATTCTTTTCACTTATCTATCACACGCCTCACGTCTCACACGCCTAACAAAGCGTAAAAGTAAAAGGTATTTTGTTTATCAAAAAGCTTTTAATACAAAATACATTTTTTTCTATAACTCTTACCCTCCTCTGGAATATCTTAAACTTTGTGCCCCGCCATTAAAAATGTTTGCCCACCACTGCTCTAGAGCATCAGCTTAGGTAGGAAACAAATATTCGATTAACTAAATTAATCAACTGAACTCGCTTATCATACATAAATGGCATACACGCGTTAATTTTTTATAAATAGAAAGTCGTCGCGGTCTAAACGATAAGACGCCCGGTGTACCTACTCATGTCAAGCGATGCGTGTTTAAATAATAATAATAACTGGAAACAAATCACGCTCGGTCATCTGACCCCAATTTAGGATTCCCTGTATTATGGGTACCGGAGACTTGATAAACATGTTTAAATATAGACATACATATATATATAGATAACAGATACCTAGACAGAGAAAACAAATCTGGTGGTAGGACCTCTTGTGAGCCCGCACGGGTAGGTACCACCACCTGCCTATTTCTGCCGTGGCATGGTAGCAGTAATGCGTTTCGGTTTGAAGGGCGGAGCAGTCGTTGTAACTATACTGAGACCTTAGAACTTATATCTCAAGGTGGGTGGCGCATTTACGTTGTAGATGTCTATGGGCTCCAGTAATCGTTTAACACAAATTGGGCTGTGAGCTCGTCCATCCATCTAAGCAATGAATAAAAAAACAGCATTCAGTTCAATTTATTGTTATTAGTTGTCGAGAAATTCTCACGAGCCAACTCACAGAATACATCTAGCTTGTGTATTAAAAAGTCTACGCACGTTCGATATGAACCCGAGCAAAAAGGGCCTTGAATTAATTCGTTTATTTTTACTTGGACACGCCTAAGTGCTTTGTATCAAGGATAATGTGGCATTCTTACTATATGCAGCGCAAATGTCTATAATGTAAACCTTGTACGGGGCTATTAAGTGATAACATTATGACGTCATCTAAACATAACATACGAGGCGAGCTAAAGTATAAACTGCCGGCGTATTCGTATCGTGTTCGAATTCGGATTAAGTATGCTTAGTGTGAGTTTTTTAACGTTCTCGATAGCGTAAAAGTTATCTCACATTTGTTTGGAGTTGGAACGTTTACCTATGTTTGCCGCTAGGGGCGCTGCTCCAACTGCATACAAATTTATGTTAACTTTTACGCTATCGAGAACGTTAAAAAACTCGCACTAAGCACACAGGTACCAATTTTTCTAACGAAATACGTACTTGACAAATGTTCACGAATGAAATCCACGGTGAAGGAATAATATCTATTTACTTATACTAATATATAAATTTACATTGGTTTTTACGGATGTTCCGTTATAACTACTGAACCATGCATCCGATCGACTTGAAACTTGATATCCATGTAGAAAATACATGTACTTAATGGATAGGCTAATATTTATATGAGTGTTGGACTCCCTACACCAGTTGCGGGGGCGTTAATGATGAGAATCTTTGTGGGGGTGAGAAATATTAATTTTAATTTTAAATGCCCAGCGAAGCGGACGGATACAGCTAGTCGTGTAATAAAAATCAAACCGGCAATAATTATAATTTGCGTAATTACTGGTGGTAGTAGTAGGTCTTAGGAGCATGGATAGGTACCACCACTCTGCCTATTTCTGTCGTGAAGCAGTAATGCGTTTCGGTTTGAAGTAGCCGTTGTACTTAGAAAGCCGGGACTCAGAACTCTTTATTTCTCAAGGTGGGTGGCGGAATTTACCTTGTAAGTTATTATTATACAGTGTGTGGACTATGTTAAAATTATATAAAGCTATATAAATGAAAGAAAAAATGAATTTACCTCCATAGCCCGGGTACCCTGAAAGTCCGCCAAAGCCTCCCTGATAACCGCCCTGATATCCGCCTTGGTAACCACCATAGTTACCTGTAATATACAATTCAATAACTTAGAGCTTTTAAGTGTTTTACAGTAAAAAATATTATGGGACGTCACATCCTTTTCAATAGATAAATTTTATCGAAGAAAATCAAACTAAATTTCTCTCGTCAATTACATACATATCGATTGAACGTTAAATTTTAAACTTACCGCCAAAACCGCCCTGATAACTTTGACCCGGATAACCGAAACCGGAGTAGCCGTTGCTTAAACCGGTATTTCCGTAACCGAAACCCGAGCTGCCGTAGCCAGGATAATTTCCGTAACCCGGGTAACTGCTTCCAGCGCTGCCGGTGTTGTAGCCGCCATAGCCGCTGTAACCGTTTTGATAGCCCGGCTTTAGAAGACCGTAACCGCCCGCGTTTCGCGTTTGACCGGTAAAGTCATTGCTCGTATCCGATACTCTTTGTCCGATCGTCACGGCCGCCGAGCAGCATAACAAAAGAAGACTCTGAAAACATGGTTTTTATTAGAATCACTTTAAATATTAATAACAATGGCCTTAGTTCAGTATTGCCTTTGAATATGTATTTAATTTACAAATACTAAAAAAACACGCTCAAAAAGCAATCTGAACTAACAATTAAGTTAGTATTTTTTATTCCCTTGACAATGAGATATTCGAGCGAATTTATAAAATTATTTTATTGTCATAGGTCTTTGATACACGTGGAAATTTTGAAATAAATCCGTCGTCTTGGAGTCGATGAAAATTACGTTAAATATTTCGTTACGTACAAAAAAACGTACGTACATGCCAAGCTAATAAAAGCGTTTTAAAAACATCTTATAGAATGCCTTTAGCCACTACAGACACTCATTTAAGCGACTACTGGACGGCATCAGCTATCCGCTGTAATCCGGAATCTATGTAAAGATATAGAGTATCTAAAGTATGTAACGTGAGCTAAAATATGCCGTGAAATTAGTTTTAATTGTGTTGAGGCTTAGCTTAGTAAACTATTATCGTTTTGTGCTTATGTTGAAGCCATCGTTAATTTTGTTTCTGTTTATTTCGTGTAATTATAAAATCGTGCAGATCAAACTAGAGCATGAGCTTGAGTTCGTGTGCCCGTCAAAAAAAAATCTAGAAAATTCCGTACACAAAACTTTGGTCTTTTGTCAGCAATCCGTATTACGTTTTGTCGAGTGCTCACTCTTGCATACACATGTTCCCGCTTGAATTCTGAATATGAATTAATTTAGAGAAGAAACTATTCAACTTTCATAGTCTCGACTTACTTGCATGAACTTGTTTTTAATATACTAGAGGTCCCGCAGTAGTCGAAATTCGACTATAATGAATTGGAATTGTAAGTTTGTACACTATTATGATTGTATTTTATACTTCTATAATCACAAATTTCGTCAAGTCTACTTTATAAAAAAATATTAATAATGACAATCAATATTTAATCTATTCTCAATTTGACCACAGACGTCAAGAACAAAAGTTTGACAATAATAGTATGCATGCGTGTGTTCGTCAATTACATGGTATGTAGTGTGTGTAATGTTTTCTCTATTGATTTAATGTATCTTTTATGTATTATTTAAAAAAAATATTAGCATTGTGCACTTCTTCTCTATATTCTCTATAAGTGTGGAAAATTTCATACTCCTCCGTCGGCACAATTTTCGTAAAAAGGGATACAAAGAGTTTTTGCTTCACGTATTAATATATAGATTTTTAAACAAGATTGTTAATGTCTTAAATTATGTTAAACGAGTTGTAATTGTCGTTACAGCTCTATTTCTATTAGTACATCGATTTGATAATTAAACAACTATCTCTTTTTCTCCACCTTATCCCACTAGGTGGGGTCGGCACAGCTAATTTTTCTCTTCCATTCTCTTCTATCAGCCGTCATCTCCACACTCACTCCTCTCTCTCTCATATCGTCATTCACACACTCCAACCATGTCTTCTTCGGTCGGTAATTATACAAATATAAAATCATTAATAGAAATTTGTTCGTTTGATTTTCGATTTCCCGTGCGTCTGATATAATGTTTCACATCGTTATCATTCGCTTGCGTTTGTTTATCAAACTTTATAAAGGTGTAGTTTAGTGGAAAAATTCTGATAAACAACGAAACGCTCCTTGTCTATGCTCTTGGAGTAAAAATTTAAAGATGTGATTTCTTTAGAATTTTAGCTCAGATACTTTTAAAGTCTCTTACTTTAAATATCGTGGAAAATAAACAGAGGAAATGTATTAAGTAGTCAAGAAAATTAATAAATCGATCTATGCTTACTTCTTATTAATATACTAGCGACCCGCCCTCGCTTCGCTTCGGAAACATTAAAACACACATGAAACCAAAAAAAAAAAATAAAAAAAAAATTAAAAAAAGTAGCCTATGTTCATCAGGGACAATGTCGGCTTCTAATGGAAAAATAATTTTTCAAATCGGTCCAGTAGTTTCGGAGCCTATTCGAAACAAACAAACAAACAAATCTTTCCTCTTTATAATATTAGTATAGATTTTAGCATTATTTTATTACATTGAGCTGTATTCATATATTTATCTGTAGTGGAATTTCTCATGATTACCTTTATTAAGATGGATAAAAAGACGGGGCTACTATTAAAACGTATTTTGTTTAATTTTTAAAACATATCTATTTTATTTTTGTATTATTAGAGTGACATTGGACAGGTAAAAAGGTGACTAAAGGATTCTACTACAGATAAAAAAAAATTGCTCTTGTAGGCAGACGAGCACACGGCCCACCGTTACCGTCGCCCATGGACTTCAGCAATGCCAGGGGCAGAGCCAAGCCGGTGCCTACCGCTAGATGACCGGAGAGCTATTGTAGTGATGTCATCTAAATTACCATTTATATGTTTTTTTTTGATACTTCTGCTTCTATTTTATACTTGTCAAAATTTGATGTTTCCGTACTAGAAAATGTACGGGAGCGTGTTGTGGTATATATGACATGTATTTTGCAAGTCTTATCTTATTTTCTTGCACTAGAGTGTACAAATACGTATGAGATTGCTTCTATTATTATCAGGGGAAAGGCAAACAAAATGAACTAAACTGAATTGTTTTGCTTTGCGAATTATAGAGTTATTAATTCGGCGAGCCAACTTAGTGACTTTGTGCTCTATATTCTTTCAAATTCATGATTAAAATGAAGATTTTCATACACCTTTTACATGTGATGTCAATGGCTTTTCTCGAAAATATGTACAAATTATCTAAAATAATTTCTTAGTTCTTCTTTCTTTTGTAATGATTTCTAAATTTGAATTAAGATCCTAACCGAAAATACTCATCTATCTATAAAGTTACGAAAATCAATTAATTGGGTTTGGTTTGTCTTTTGTACATTGTTTATCCAATTGTGCTGAGGTTTGGTATAATTGTTGTTGAGACTCTAGGGAAGACTTCTGCCATATATCATCAAAGTAAGCCACATATGTATGTGGCGCGCGAGTACTTATCATACATACAGCAAATCGATTTTTTCTGTAATTATCGATCAATACAACAATGACCAGATTTCACTGTGTAGTCAAAAATAAAATGAGTTCATAATTTAGAATATTTTTTCTAAAAACATAGTTCATTAGTTATCTATATCTATACTAATATTATAAAGAGGAAAGATTTGTTTGTTTGTTTGTTTCGAATAGGCTCCGAAACTACTGGACCGATTTGAAAAATTCTTTTTCTATTAGAAGCCGACATTGTCCCTGATGAACATAGGCTACTTTTTAAAAAAAAAATATTTTTTTTTTGTGTCATGTGTGTTTTAATGTTTCCGAAGCGAAGCGAGGGCGGGTCGCTAGTTATTTATACGTAAGTATATTTAGTGTTATAAAATAAGTTAATAAATATGATTATATTGATTAGTAGTTACACGAGGACACGTTTCTGCTTTTATCTTTATCGGTACACACGAATACTGAAAACCATATAAATTATAAGATATATGAAAAAAAAAAAACCTTTATCAAACTATGCCAATAAAGTTTTATTGCTTAAATGTCAATTTAAAGTACTGCGCACGTATTGAGTGACCGTATCAGGAATTCCGTGTTCGGAAACGGCATCACCGCAACCCAAATTTTAAAAACATGATAAGTAAAATTTTAAATTAACAAGAAGACAGTCGTTGTGGCCTAAAGGATAAGACCTCCGGTGCATTCGTATGTAGCGATGTACCGGTGTTCGAATCCCGCAGGCGGGTACCAATTTTTCTAATGAAATACGTACTCAACAAATGTTCACGATTGACTTCCACGGTGAAGGAATAACATCGTGTAATAAAAATCAAACCCGCAAAATTATAATTTGCGTAATCACTGGTGGTAGGACCTCTTGGGAGTCCGCACGGGTAGATACCACCACCCCGCCTATTTCCGCCGTGAAGCAGTAATGCGTTTCGGTTCGAAGGGTGGGGCAGCCGTTGTAACTATACTGAGATCTTAGAACTTATATCTCGAGGTGGGTGGCGCATTTACGTTGTAGATGTCTATGGGCTCCAGTAACCACTTATCACCAGGTGGGCTGTGAGCTCGTCCATCCATCTAAGCAATAAAAAAAAAAAGAATTTTACAAATTCAATGGTTTTTCAATTACCTACATTTTGGAGATATTAAAAATAAAAATACCTAATTATATATAATAAATGACGCGCACATTTGACGAGTAATAAATAAATCCCTTGACAAAATTATTCGTGCTATTAATAATACATTGAAATCAGAACTAATCAGAAGATAATATAACAAAAAATATAATTAAAATTTGACAAAAAAAATATCTTTTAGATCTGTAATAAACTCGACACCCGTTCATCCGCCTTTAATTAAAGTTAAAAATCGATAGTGAATATTTCCATCTTCTAATGCGTCATTAAATATCTTTCCTTGGCGGGATTCGAACCTGCGACCCCCTTGTGTAGTGACCATGTCACTTACCACTACACCAGACGGTCGTTTAAAGTTTGAATGGAGGACACCAGAATGACAAGAGACAACTACTTTATGGCAAACCAGAGGGCCGCAGAAGTCGTGTCAGATCCAAACTCCGATGGATAGATGGCATAGAGCACGACCTCAAATCTATCGGTGTCAGGAGCTGGAAGGAAAAATTCCTGAACAGAGCAGTCTGGAGAGACATACTGGACCAGGCTAAGGCCCACCCTGGGCTGTAAGGACTAAGATGACGATGCTGATGATATATTTTCATGAATAAAAAAAACAACCTTTAATATTTAAACTTCGAAAGGTGACTTGTTTTTGTATCGAATTTAGCACTGTAATAACCTAAGTGCGCATCTCTATGACGAATTTAACTAATTACCTGGAGCATTAACCTCGATAAAACAAGTACGACTTGTTTGCGACAAAAGAAGAATTGAAACAGATGGCTTCTTATACTTAGAAACAATGGGTGCTTAAATTGTTCGTCACCTCATCTAGTTTGAAGAAATTTTGAAATCAACATGGCTTTTTTAAGACGTCAAATAGTCAATTTTTTTAAAGCAAGTTCATTACAAACTAAACACGTGCTCTTGGACGTGGAATCTAATCCATAGACCACCCACTGAGTTTCTCACCGGATATTCTCAGTGGGTCGCGATTCAGATCTCAGATCACGGTGGTAGATTCAGAAAAGCCCTACTCTTGCTAGGGCACATGCTAGCAAACTCTTTTATGTTGAGCCCCGTGTGCTCTCTCGCCAGTCAGGGTGAAGCCAGAATAGCCTCTCGAGGCTGTTCGCAGACAAGTAGGCAAAAAATGAATAATGATATCATTTATTAAAAACGTAATCGGCAAAATTTCTAGATTTCCTTAATAACTGGTGGTCGGACGCCCATTCTGTCTTTATCAGCTGCGAAGTAATCATGCGTTCCAGTTTCGAAGGTGGGATAGCCGTGGTATATGAGACCATGAGACTCTATGTCTCATGGCAGCAGAATTCACGTTGCAATCCCCACGAGTACCGGTAACCGCTTGATATCGGAGGGTCTGCAAACATATTACTTTCCTATCAAGCTCTCAGCTCTATTTGTTAGTGACATTAACACTTGTGTTGTGTTAAATGTTTCACAATAAGCAATACTAGCATTCTGTGGGTAGTTTTGCGTAGACTACGTTGCGTGATCGTGGGTAGAATACCGTGACCAGCAGTAGAATGAAAAGTAACAGTCCAGACTATGTTCATACTGAATGTCATCGACATCCATTCGGTGGTATTAAGCTGAGACTGAGTTGCTTTCGTGTTCATGATATGTATGTATTTATTCATTTCTTCGGTTTTTGCGTTTTTTGTTTATTGCTTAGTTGGGTTGACGAGCTCACGGCCCACCTGATGTTAAGTGGTTACCGGAGCTAAGAGACATGTACAACGTAAATGCGCCACCCACCTTGAGATATAAGTTCTAAGGTCTCAAGTATAGTTACAACGGCTGCCCCACCCTTCAAACCGAAACGCATTATTGCTTCACGGCAGAAATAGGCAGGACGGTGTTACCTATCCGTGCGGACTCACAAGAGGTCCTACCATCAGTTATTTTTTCAGTTTCGCGCCTTCCCGGGTCTCGATTCGATTTAAATAATTTACAGTTTTCGTGGTCATGTCTACCACAATAAAATTCTAAAGCATTCAAAACGTCAGAAATGAAATAATGATAATAAATAAAATAATATTCCGTAACTTAATCGGTATAAATCAGCATCGAACAGTATGTATAAAAGTAATGTAAATCTTTAAATGACGTATTTTTAATCCAAAATCCGTTTTTAATGAAGCAAATCCTATCCAATATATTATGCTCGAAATTAATAACGTTCTGTTAGTGAAAAGTACATGAAAATTCATTCCGTAATATCGGAAATTTGAGCGAGTCGAATGCTACTGTTTTATTAAGTTTATTGATCGATTAACGGCCGTCTGGTGTAGTGGTAAGTGACATGGTCACTACACAAGGGGGTCGCGGGCTCGAATCCCGCCAAGGGAAGGTAATTGTATAATAAATTAAATGTCTTTTCCAGGGTTATGGATGTATATTAAATATATGTATGTGTATAATAAAAATATTACATTTATATCCGTTATCTGGTACCTGTAACACAAGTTCTTTACGAACTTATCACGGGACCAGTTAACGTGGCGTGATTGTTAGTAAATATTTATTTATTTATTATTGATTAATGTTAGTACTAAATATATTTTTGTCTATAAATTTATCGAATTAAGGACACATATGCATTGTACCGTTTGATTTATTAAAAAAAATCATAAAAATATGTAAATGTTTGACACCCTTAAGATTTCATACATTTTAATTATACCTACGTGTGTTCATATCAGATTAAATTCGGTAGCGGATTTTATCTGTAAATCATCTATAACTCATATCAATTAGAAATCTAATCAAGGGTTGTTAACACCAAAGGAAATATAATATCGCAAAGCTATCGATACTGATCTAGATCAGATTGTGAATGCTTTTTTTTTTAATTCATCGATTTTCGTTGATTAATTTTATTATCGATTTTCATTTATTTCTAAAAGATAAATGCCGATTATTTCTAATTCGTTGGATTGTAACTGCTAGGCGCCGTGGTAATTTCGAACAGTTTTATTTAAATATCAAAACATTCATATAATATTTAGTTAATTAAATATAATTTTATTACTAATGAGTTAACAATCTCAAGTTACCATGATAATATTTTTTATTCAATACTGATTTCTAAATAATCGACTGAAACTCACCAAATAATTCATTGTATAAATATTTGATCACTGAATTCACTATAGATAACTTTGTTCTTCGCACTAACTCACAATGATCAAGATTGTTTCATCTCACGCCTTTTTATTGCAGGCACAAACAGAAAGAAACACCACAGTTAATAAATATTACGGTAGTTTAACTCGGTTTCGGCTTTGATTCTTACTTAAGTCCAGCAGTTGTTTATATTCAGCATATCTAAGGCTAGTCGAAGTGTCAGTAAAGCTGCCACTTAAGTAGTTCAGTCCATGATGTTCGGTTACAATTACCTAAGAATTGGGTGACAGTATTTCTGTGTCAAGTTATTTTTCACTATTAACAATTAGTATAATGGTTTTATTAATTGTTATTGTCATTAATCGATAAGATCACCCCAGTATTTCTTCATATTTACTATTAGTAACTACTTTTAAGTGTTTTACAATAATAAAACAGTACCCTATAAGATAACACACAAAATACATTTTTTGTGTTTGTCTGTTTGACATTTAAACCAATTTAATCTGGAAAAGGTACGGGTATTAAATTGAATTTAGCGCCATATACTAAAGTATATGATGGGAAGAAGTTTTAAAAATCTCAAGCTTCTCTGTCATCGCAATCAAAATATATAGCAATAATTTCTAACTCGTTTGGTTAAAGAGTTGGGACAGCGGCTAGGCTTAAACCTCATTTTTCAAGGTGGACGCGACATTTGCACTGTCCATGAATTTTTTTAATTATTTAATTCGAGATGTGCCACGAGGTCCTTCACGATTCTGTGAAAAAAAAAGATTTATACAGCACTTTTTCATTGACCTAGACTGATGAAATTCTGGAAGAGGTCTTATAGCACAAGTTAAGGGGAAAAAACTTTGAAAATATATTATATAGTAGATTTATGTCTTTGTACACATAAACAAAAACATTTCCTGACTTACGAGCTTAAGTTTCGGTCCTCAAAGTAATCAATGAATCGCCAGAGGAATATCAAGATCATTCTTGAAAAGGTCCTTAAGTTTCTAAATAACACCATTAAATATGTTTTTTTCAGTGCTGAGTTATAAAGCTTAATGCACACGAGTGTGGTGGAAAGGGATGTTTCTAACTTTGCCAGACATACTGAACGGCTGTAGTGCAGTCCCAACCTTAATCCGCTTGATCATGCCTTATGGTCACTTTTAGAGAATACTGTGTGCTCTGAACGGTATACTCTCTAACGACTATAATGGATACTATAGTAATAAATGTACTGGTCATAACAATATTTATTGCAAGACCAAGTATCACTTTCAGTTTGGAAATGTTTTAGGTCCGAACGGAAACTAACACAATATCTACCGTGAGAAGACATACCTAGTGCTGTTCAAAAAGTAGGAGAGCCAGTATTATAAACTAGTTTCGGCTTGGTACAACCAAACAAAAAATATCTGGCCCAAAAAAGCAAAGAGCTCGGGAACGTTGTTTCAAAACTTATTTAATCGTTAGTGACATAATGAGTATTTCGAGTAACTTCTGTGATATTTAATGAGCAAAGTTGTTTTACAAGTTGACATTAATTACAAATAATCGTTGATTGATAAATTCCGATTAATTAACTTTTCTGTATTATCTGTTTTTAGACAAGTACTTCCAGTATTAGATAGATATACACATATGGAATATACATATGTAAAGTATTAAAAAAAAATCAAGACGTCAACAAATTTTAATAACAGTTTCGAATCTTTCTTATACAATACGTTTATTTCTTTTATTTTTTGTGAATATTCTCATTTTAGATTATCACTACAATACATATTTTTTTTAGACAAACGCTGGTTGCAATCTCAATCGTATAACTAAACAGAACTAGGACGAAGGGCGGAATGTATCTGTGCCGGGTTCGCAATTTGCCCCACGGCCAGTTTCCATTTACAAATTTTTTTATACAAAAAGCAAATTAGCTAAACAAGAACATTTTTTGTTGCACTATTCAAGAAAAAACCTTGCCTTTTGGAACGTGTTTATACTGTGTCTCGAGACAGGGCCAGACGCATGCTACACGCGTCGCCCTGCGGCATTATTGTCTACTGGATTGTTTATGGTCCCTTTGGACTGCGATCTGCCTGTGCCACTATATATGGCGACCTGTGAGGTTATAAGAATGTCCTTGTGCCATAATAACAACATATTAATTTATGTATTGTAATAATGTAATGTACTAAAGAAATTTTTGATCAATAAATTATAAATTGAAATTTGATGTAAAAACTAAGATGGAAGCTTACATATATATTAACTTCGGACGTAGCAGATACTAGAGCGTTTTCTTAAATATCAGCCGTTAAGACGATCTGATTTTTTCTTTAAGTGCCTATATATCTAACATACAGGGTGTTTCAAATATGTCCCGTGTCATGGTGAATTAAGTTCCATGAGTGAATTGGAATTTTTTGAAAAATAGAAGCCCGGTGATCTACTTCTAGCTGGCAATTCTCAATACGGTAACATAGAAACAAAATTGTGTTCGATTTTTTTTACTTCAAAATAGTTTCATTGTTCGCTAGTTGACAGAATGAATCTCTGCTGGTATCCGGGATTCAAGGACAAAGAGACATACTATCGATGACCATTACATTACTGGATATAAAATACAAGCAAACATACCACTTTAATATACTAAAATGAACATTATTCTCGTCTAATTTGGGAATGTATCAAATATCCTAGCGCTTGGGAAAGACCATCGAAAATAATTCATTCTAGAATTAAAAGTGTGCGTGGGAAAAATTGCGCTGGAAACGAGTTTTTGGACGAAGCCAAGTCGATGACCTTAACATTTGGCCTTAACAAATCAAAAACTACTATGGTAGTAAGTACGGTGATATCAAGGAAACATAATTATGAACAAAGCAAAGGTATTAAATGTTTCAGGGGCTTAGTTTTATCGAGGACTTCACAACATTATCTCTAATGTTCTTATATATTTCCTAGTAATTGTTATCGATAAAAACTATTTTTTTTTTGTTGTTATTTTAATTTTCTTTATTAATCAGGTCTAAGGATTTCGCTTGGCTATATCTGGGATTGGATTAGTGACTGATAAATAAATGATTAATTTATTAAAACCACACATGCCAGCGGAACTGGCTCCGATAGAATGTACTAATGTGGTTAATTTGCGTTAATTTAACAGCTTGACAGACCGGCATATATTAGGGGTTAAAGTATGAAATTGCCGATTTGTGCTGAAAAATTGAAATTCGTTTTTTTTTTCATATATATTTATTTAATCAAAATATCTAACATTATTATCTATACATTCCTGTCATCTAATAAGAAGGTCATTTATGTCTTTGTGATAGGACTCTGGTGATTTAGATCCTACAAATTTGTGAAAGCATTTTGTACTGCCTCCTCGGAAGAAAACTTTTTATTACGTAGAAAATTGTCAAAATCACGAAAAATGGTATTCCGTTGGGGCAAGGTCTATTGAATACAGAGGGTGACGAATGGTTTTTAATTGCAGTTCCTGTAGAATTAAAACGGTTTCTCATGCTGTATGAGGTCTCGCGTTATCATGGAGCAATAACGATGAAGATCGATTCATGAGTCGGGGCTGTTTCACTGCAAGTTTTGCTATCACTGTTCGGAGTTCGGCACAATAGACATCTGCTGTTATTGCTTGACCAGATCGGAGAAAACTATAGTGAATATCACCATGCTGAGACCACCAAGCAGCTACCATTACCTTTCTATTGGTAAGCTTTGCTTTAGGATACTGATGTGGCGTTTGACCTGGGGTCAGCTATTGCATTTTTCGCTTACGGTTATCGTAAAGAATCCACTTTTCATAGCATGTCACAATTCGATCTAATATTCCTTCATTTGTTTATCGATTCAACAAAGCAAAACGAGTTTCTTTCTGCAGATCAGTCAAATCATGAGGCACCCATTTTTCATAATTTTATTTATTTATTGTTTTGAAGCACATTAGTTAGTATTGTTGGTAAGGTAACGAACGATAAGCCATGTCGCTAATTCCTGGGTAGCCTGGGTTGGATCGGCTTCCACCATCTCTTACATTGTTATTCACATGTGTGGGCGGTCTTTTTTTTTTTTATTGCTTTGATGGGTGGACGAGCTCACAGCCCACCTGATATTAAGTGGTCACTGGAGCCCATAGACATCTACAACGTAGACGCGCCACCCACCTTGAGATACAAGTTCTAAAGTCTCAGTATAGTTACAACGGCTGCCCCACCCTTCAAACCGAAACGCATTACTGCTTCACGGCGGAAATAAGCAGGGCTATCCGCGCGGACTAACAAGTGGTCCTACCACCAGTAATTACGTAAATTATAATTTTACGGGTTTGATTTTTATTACACAATGTTATTCCTTCACCGTGGAGGTCAACCGTGAACATTTGTTGAGTACATATTTCATTAGAAAAATCGGTACCCGCCTGGGATTAGAACGCTGGTGCATCGCTCAACACGAATGCACTGGACGTCTTATCCTTTAGGCCACGACGACTCTAAACTGGAAACATGAAACTGGAAAACTCTCTGGACCAGCAGTAATCCCTCCAGCCAAAAAAGCAACCTCCGGGTAACGTGTATTGTAAATATGCTAAAGAGTTCACGATAAAACGTATAGGAGTATATCATTTTTATAATAAACGTTGGTGACTGAGAAGATCCGGCCAGAAACTCAGTGCCAACCTGTCGAAGACTAATTTTCCTAATCAGCTGTTTTGACGTCTTGTTTTTGACGCACGCTTTAAATATTTAAGGATCATTTTTAAAGATAAGATAGATTATCGTGCAAGACGTACAAAGTACTAAAAATAATTATATTACAAATGAAAATGTATAATATTTTAATTTAATAGTGAAATTTTTCGAACAAGATTTCCAGTCTATTCGTAAATGTTCCTAAGTTATGTTATCACGGTAACATCGAACGATGAATGAAATAAATTTGGATTTGAAAAAAAAAATGCGATGATGAGTATTCGCTTTATCATTTCAAGTATAATATTAAATATGTTCAATGTGCCTTCAATAATGTTATATTTATACACCCCTGTGACATTTGATGTTCG